GGATAGGTTCGGTTGGGAACGTAATAATGATGAAAAGCTTTTTTAAATTTGGCTTTTTTAAAGAAAATTTTGGAATCAGTTAATAAAAAAGAAAAGATAAATTTTTGTCTTCTGGAAATCGTAAAATACATTTTCTAAGAATAAATATTGAAAGAATAATCATATGAATACATTTTGGATAAAAGAAAAAAGTAAGAAGGATGAATCATGAATGACTATCAATGAAAGGATAGGTGAAAATATCAATGAAAGGATAGATAAATATATTAATAAAAGTATGAATATATCAATGAAAGGATGAATGAATACATTGATAAAAGGATAAATGAATATATTAATAAAAGGATTAATTAATTTATTAATGAAAGGATGAATGAATACATTAATAAAAGTATAGGTGAATATATCAATGAAAGGATAGATGAATATATCAATGAAAGGATATATGAATATATCAATGAAAGGATAAATGAATATATCAATGAAAGGATGAATATGTATCAATGAAAGGATGAATGAATATATTTATAAAAGTATAGGTGAATATATCAATGAAAGGATAAATAAATATATCAATGAAAGGATTAATGAATACATTAATAAATGGAAAGATGAATATATATCAATGAAAGAATAAATGAATAAATCAATGTTTGCTACGTATAGGTGTAAGGATGAATGAATGAATGAATGAATGAATGAATGAAAGCATGTAATGTCCAAAGCTAAGTGCGCATACTTTGAAGGACGCTATAAAGCGCCCCACCCGATATATTCAAATGCACGGGTTGAAGGGAGGGAACAGAGTTAATAAATGAGAGGGGGGAGAGGATGATAGTTTAAGGGGCACTGGCTGGGTGTATGGAGGGGAGGGAGGAAAGCAGTTTAAAGTCACTAAGATAATAAACTTACTCAGTTTCTTTATGAAAATATCATAAAGAATTATCTTCTTATTGATCTCATTAATTTAGAAATAATCTGAACCTCCATCTTCTCTTCCTAGTTGTTCTCTTCTTAGTTGTTCTCTTCCTAGTCCTTCTCTTCCTAGTCCTTCTCTTCCTAGTTCTTCTCTTCCTGGTTCTTCTCTTCTTAGTTCTTCCCCTCCTAGTTCTTCTCTTCCTAGTTTTTCTCTTCCTAGTTCTTCTCTTCCTAGTCCTTCTCTTCCTAGTTCTTCTCTTCCTAGTTCTTATCTTCCTAGTTCTTCTCTTCCTAGTTCTTCTCTTCCTAGTTCTTCTCTTCCCAGTTCTTCTCTTCCTAATTCTTCTCTTCCTAATTCTTCTCTTCCTAGTTCTTATCTTCCATGTTCTTCTCTTCCTAGTTCTTTTCTTCCTAGTTCTTCTCTTCCTAGTTCTTCTCTTCCTATTTCTTCTCTTCCTAGTTCTTATTTTCCTAGTTCTTCTCTTCCTAGTTCTTCTCTTCCTAGTTCTTCTCTTCCTAGTTCTTCTCTTTCTAGTTCTTCTCTTCATAGTTCTTCTCTTCCTAATTCTTCTCTTCCTAGTTCTTCTCTTCCTAGTTCTTCTCTTCCTAGTTCTTATCTTCCTAGTTCAAGTTTTTCTCTAAATTCCATTTTTTATTGATTTCACGAGTTAAAAGTCCCTATTGACACTCAAGGTTATTATGAAGGACTAGTTCCACCATGTATAAACAGTATTTAACACACGAGAAAACATCTCTCCTGCCAAATTATTTAATATTATATAATTATTAATGATCTATTTCTATTTTCTGAATTTTGTAAAGTTGCATCAAGTCAACCGTTTAGATTTCAAGGCTCTTCGTTCCAGTTTATTTGTCTTGTTTTAGTTTAATTATATTGTTTTATTTTTATCTTTAAACCATATTCCTTCCTGCTAACTTATACTTATATTGCTTTTGTCAAGGGTTAAGCAGAAACAATGAACTTGAGATAAACTTATCTCTGTTTATCTTTCAAAAACTTTTGTCTCGTAATTGATTAAAATCATATTTGCATGGTTAAAATTAAAAAATAATATCCTTGAATTTAAAACCAAGTAAAAGGATGATTTTCAAAGATAATATATTTACCAAATGTCTAACTTTAATGAACAACTTGCCAAAACTACAGTTACAAATTACATATAGTTCAGACTTAGAATATATATGGATTTATCTTAGAATTAGTGGGATAGGTTCGGTTAGATTTAATCAATATTTTATTTTAACTTGGTGTTCAGGGTGCTCCGCGCCCCTTTTCTAGTAACAATTTTTACATTTAAATTTAGGTTAGGACAGTTTAGGGGGTAGAGCGCTGCGGCCACACTTCTTGGCCGAGCGCCGCGCATAGGACAGGCTAGGGGCCGAGCGCTGCGGCCAAGAGTTATTATTTATTATTTATAATAACTCATAAATAAATTTCATGTACTTTTTTTAAATGAAGGGGCTTGAAATCGTTCTCGAGGATATGAGAAGCTTTGTTTAAACACGTATAACACAGCTCTGGAACTAGGTTTATTGTACACAAATAAAAATAATTTTTTACATAAATAATGTGGAACTAACACCTTTTTAATTACTTTGTGAGGTTTAGAGCATCTTTAACACAGANCTAGGTCAATATACAGACAGGTTAAATATAGTTTTATCTCCATGCTAGGTCAATATACAGACAGGTTAAATATAGTTTTATCTTCATGCATGGTCAATATACAGACAGATTAAATATAGTTTTATCTCCATGCATGGTCAATATACAGACAGGTTAAGTATAGTTTTATCTCCATGCTATGTCAATATACAGACAGGTTAAATATAGTTTTATCTTCATACTATTTGTATTTTTATTATGATTTCTATATTCAATAGTTTATCCTCTCTCTTATTAACCAAAGTTTTTCTGTATTTTCTTTCTTCAATTTTTTATGTTTATTTTAGCATTTTCATTCGCATCTTTTTTGGAATGGTTAAGATTTTTTTAAGATTCTCAGTGGTTATTTAAAGACACTGTCTCGTAACTAGATAGAATGGCATGTCCAATTTACAACGGTATCCTTAAAAGCTTAGCATGTTCATGTATGAATTAGAACTCCATGTTTAATTTTTTTGAAAGCTGTTTTTTATATGTGTTTTCTCTGCAAAGGACTTGTGCATTTCATGCTTCAGAAACAGTTGAGAAATTGTCATAATTAAACACTTTTAAAGGCAAATAAATGACTTACCTTCCACATTATTGATCAGATTTAGATTTCAAGGGCACCATAGTAAATGGGACATGCCCCTCTTTAAGCCTCCTAAAGAGAATTTTCGACGATAATCCCTTTAAGTATCACGTGCAGTTTTAGTTTTCATAAAATAATATCGGATTAAATTTTTTCAGAATTTAAACAGTGATTTTACTGACTCCGCCCTGGGGACAGACAAGTCTGCTCCACCCTATGGGAACTTCCAGCTTAGAGAGTCCACGATGCAATCCATCCTAAACAATCCTAAGTATGGTCCAAGGTCGGAGCTAGGAACGAATATGTTTACCTACCTCAAATTTGGTTTACCTAGAGTACTACCCCCAGGGAAAGGCGAGCAGGTAGGAATTTTTTTCTCTTAATTTTTTCTCGAGCGTTTAAAGATTTTTCCAATAAATTAGGAAAATGTTTTTTTTTCTTTTATTAAATCCCTTCATTTGTTTTTATTGAGCGCTACATTATTTTAAAGCCTTTGTCTCCCATTATAGGGCGGAGTGCTTTGAGATTTACTTCCTTCAAAATGACAAACTAACTAAAGCTGCGTTATCTTCAATATTTAATCAAATATAAAACATATATTTATTTTCTGATTAATCGCAATAAACAAAAATTAGTTTTATTTTTTGAAACAAATTTTTTATCGATGAATTAGATTTTTTATAATTATTTTTTGATTTTTTTATGAATATGTTTTTTGCTCAACATTTTTATAGAGTTTTCTTATTTCTTAACAAATTATCATCCAAGATAGAAGTTTCGAAAAACGTGATGATTTAGTACAGATTAGAGGACTAAAGATAAAATCTTTTTTAAACTGTAAGACAACTTTTAAACTTTTGGTTTGTTTTTGAGGACTTTAGAAAAGGTTCCATAAAAATCTAAGAAGTTCAAAAAGTCTTAAAATTGTTTAGTATAAAATGTTGCTTATCTTACAAATTTGACACTAAGAGCAAATATATGCGAAAAACGAAACAGAAAACGAAACAGAAAACCAAACAGAAACCTAAACAGAAAACCAAACAGGAAACAAAACAGGAAACAAAACAGGAAACGAAACAGAAAACGAAACAGAAACCGAAACAGAAACCGAAACAGAAAACGAAACAGAAAACAAAACAGAAAACGAAACAGAAAACGAAACAGAAAAAAACAACCCTAGATGAACCCCCAAATTAACCCTAGATGCACCCCCAAAAAATTGCGTATAAGGTCCAAGAGTGAAAATTGGTTCGTTCTCAGGTTTATGAACAAAAATTCGTTTACTTATCTTATCTGTGTAATCTGTAGTTTGCAGAGACAACATCAAATGTTATGACTTTTAACCCTTTTCATAATTATTAGTTGGATAAAGACGACTTTTAATCCTTTTTTATTCTAGCAGTAATTTGATTTTACTTGTTAGAGGTTAATTGGAAATTAATTGGGGAGTTGATTCAGTTTTTAGCTTTGGTTTAATTAGACCCTGATTAATTAGAGAGAAAATTGTTAATATCAGTTTCTATATCAGATATAAGATACAGAGTGTCCATATTATGACAACTTAATATTTGTCTTTAATATACGCGGCGTTAGTTCTTCAATCTAACTGAATACCGTGTTACCCACAAAAGATAAGACTCCAAAGACAACTGCAAATTTTAAAAAGATTGTATTTTGTTTAATTTATATAATCGTTTAAGTTTGCAGCTATGCACTTTTTTACCTGCATGCAGAAGACCCAAACTAAGGGGCATCAAATAAAATCCATTAAAAAAGTTTGACCTTTTGCGGATAACCCTGTATAGTATCATGATTTAAATAATGATATTTTTAACCTTTACTAAAAACACTATGAGCAGGTGGTTAATCTAATCCGTATTGGGACTACAGAGCGTCCCAAATCATTTTAGATTATCTCCAATCTTTAACGCCAAAATACGCACAAAGTACTCGAAAAATCTAGCATTTTCTGCAAAAAAATTCCTATTTGCCGTATTAAATTTTTCAAAATCATTTCTTCTTCTTAAATTTTCTGATTTGTCCCCCAAATCCTAATCTTCGCTGTAAAATCTGTTTTTATAAATGCTGCGGCAGCGTAAGTTTGTCAAATTAATATTTAGTTTCAGTAAAATCTCTTTAATACTGAATAATCTAATTACAGGGACCGGATAACTCCTCTGGATATGATTCAACTGATGAAGAGGTCAGTTTTATCTATATTTGCCTATGCCCCCCCCTAAATGTTCCATCATATTTTTGTTATTTATTACAATTCTAATATGTGGAAAAAGTTAAATTATTTAATAATACTAATCATGATGGTGGTAGATTAATTTGATTTAGTACGGATCACGCCTTCAGTCATAATTCTAACTATATTTTAATTTATATCTATATAGATATTGATTTTGACGAGAAAATGTCATATTTTATAATTTATTATGATGCTGGTTATTAAATATAATTGACATCCCTTGTCAAAGTAATGAAAATTTAAAAAAAAAGATGGATCAGGATTTTGTGAGATATACAGTAGTCCTGTATTTAGGTTGGATACAGAGGTCAGGGACTAAGAGCTGCACGGAGTGAAGATGTTCTAAACCGGCCTGTAGAGAGCAGGAGATATAAAGGGTAAGTTAATAAATATATGAAAAAATATTCCGGAAGAAAAGAGTAAGGATGAAAAAGGAGACTAGGGATGGAAAAGAAGACTAAGAATGAAAAGAAAGAGTAAGTATGAAAGAAAATAATAAGGATGACAAAAAGTAAGAATGAAAAAAGAAGGTAAAGGATGAAAGATAAAAGTAAAGATTAAAAAGAAGAGTAAGGATGAAAAGGAAGAGTAAGGATGAAATGAAAGAGTAAGGATGAAATAAAGAGTAAGGATGTAAAGGAAGAGTAAGGATGAAAAGGAAGAGTAAGGATGTAAAGGAAGAGTAAGGATGAAATAAAGAGTAAGGATGCAAAGATCAATAAGAAATAATGAGGATGATCCAATTATATGTTATTCCAACCATGAATAGTGCATAAGAGTAAGGAAGCAAAAAGAACTCTTTATCTTTAAGCTAAAGATATCCTGAGATAAATGAAAAATGGTCAATCCACACTCTGCAGGGTTGCGCGCACTCCAGACTCTGCCTGGAGAGTTGGTGTCGGGACGGATCATAGTAGTATAGTAGTATCCGAGTATACGTGCGTGCAGAGTCTATACAATTAGACCTGGATAAACAAGGTGTTTCCCATCCAGTGAATAAATATGTAGAATAAATCCTGAACCGTGATTGACAAAATTTATATTTACAATTCTGGACTGCTTGTTTCAAGATTGGTTAATATTACTAGTAAGATATTTATTATCACACCTTACTAATGGAATTCCCAATGTTTGGTTCGTCAGCCCCTCCTCCCCTTTCTGAACATTTTCCACTTCCCGTTTTTTAAAAGATTTGTTCAATTAAGAATAAAATCATGTACTTTATTCTCCATTCTTTCAAAGTTAAAATATGCAAAAAAGTAGTTTGTCTTAACTCCGACGCTCGGCCCGGACGTGTGGCGCTCGTACACTAAACTCTACACTTACTCAGACTAAGATATTGGCTAACCATATGCTAGGGTCATCTCGTTAGCCTATAGTTTTAGTAAATTAAAAAATGAATTTGCAATTTATAACTTGCACAATCCAAAACAAAGAAATGTTTTAAGAAGTTTTATGGTTTTTTATATTTAGGAAGTTAACCCTTAAATTACATAGCTTATAGATTTTAAATTTTTTTTATTTTCTTCTAGTTTCAATTTTTATAAATCTTTAATATATTCCCGGTATCCTTCCCCAGATTCACTTATCATCAGACTTATGGCCCTGCCTTTAAAGGAAGAAAAGACATTATAATCGGTTTTAATCTTGGAGAAAATTATGTTTAAAGTACAGTTGGGTCAGATATATACTAACCTAGGCTTCTTAACGGTGAATCCTTATCTCGGAATCTACGTAGATACATGTATTTATATTCATGATATATATATAAATATATATATATATATATAAACATCCTTTCTATTTATAACTGTGTGACGGTCATAACTATTTGCATATTTGTATTCTTTAATATTTTATATCTATAGACAACATAGACCGGGGTTTTCTTATTTTTCCTAAATTTTGTTCAAATACTGTTTTATAATGCTACCATCCTTCTGTAAATATTGTCAGGGTTTCTCCTCTAACCCTGGTTTTATAATTGGACGGATAGATATTGGTTCAAGACAGATTAGAAATCATACAAGTACACCTGGAGATGATACCAGTACTCCCAAATATACCTGGAGATACTATTAGTACTCCCCAGTATACCAGGAGATACTATCAGTACTCCCCAATATACCAGGAGATACTATCAGTACTCCCCAGTATACCATGAGATACTATCAGTACTACCCAATATACCAGGAGATTCAACCAGTACTCCCCAAAATACCTGTAGTTACTACCACCAGTACTCCCCAATATACCAGGAGATACTAACAGTACTCCCCAGTATACCATGAAAGATACTATCAGTACTCCCCAGTTAACCATGGGAGATACTATCAGCACTCCCCAATTTACCAGGAGATACTATCAGTACTTCCCAGTTTACTAGGAGATACTATCAGCACTCCCCAATTTACCAGGAGATACTATTAGTACTTCCCAGTTTACCAGGAGATGCTATCAGTACTCCCCAATTTACCAGGAGATACTATCAGTACTTCCCAGTTTACTAGGAAATACTATCAGCACTCCCCAATTTACCAGGAGATACTATCAGTACTTCCCAGTTTACCAGGAGATACTATCAGTACTTCCCAGTTTACCAGGAGATACTATCAGTACTCCCCAATTTACCAGGAGATACTATCAGTACTTCCCAGTTTACTAGAAGATACTATCAGTACTTCCCAATATACCTAGAGATACTAACTGTACTCCCCAATATACCAGGAGATACTATCAGTACTCCCCAATATTCCAGGAGATACTATCAGTACTTCCCAGTTTACTAAGAGATACTATCAGAACTCAACCAGTATACCAGGATATACTATCAGTACTCCCCAGTTTGCCATGGGAGATACTATCAGTACTCCTGTTCTCTCAGTATACCTGGAGATATATATTTGATACTACCACTACTCCCAAGTTTACATGGAGATATTTGAAACTATGCTAGTACTCCCCACACTGCGATTTAATGGTCTCACGCTCTCAAGCAAAAATCGTTAAGAATTTTGCCAATAACTTCTAAAAAACCACATCTAACAACAAGTGCTTTACAGTGCTAAAATGTACATGTAAAGGGCTACAGAAAAGCATAAGTGAGTTAGAGCGGTAAAATTTAAGCTTAGGGCGTTGCGACACTTCAAAGTCAGCCCTGTCTTAAAAATTGATGAGACTGTTTATAAGGAGGCTGAATCTATGTGCCCAGTATACCCAGAGATATATGATACTCCCTGTTCTCCAGTTTTCTCAATTATACCCAGAGATATATAATACTCCCTGTTTTCCTGTTCTCTCAAGTATACCCAGAGATATATGATACTCCCTGTTCTCCTGTTCTCTCAAGTATACCCAGAGATATATGATACCCCTTTTATCCTGTTCTCTTAGTATACATGGAGATAATGGATTCTTCTCGTTCTCTTGTTCTCTCTAGTATACCCGGAGATATCTCACACTTCCTGTTCTCCTGTTCTCTCCAGTATACACGGAGATGTTTATTAAACTCAGTTCGGACACATCCGGACTTTTCGTCATGGACAGAACAGAAATTCTCACAAAATAATCGTGCGAAGATAATTCTTGAAATATCCAAGATTTTGATGAATTACTAGAAAACAGGACGATTTATCATCTACAAACACAGTATGCACGGTATACACCCCCCCCCCCTTCTTCTTGTACTAGGTCCAGTTTAATAGCTAAAATCCGTTATTAACAGTATTATATTTGTCTTAGCACGAACTATAAAGCAATTATTTAAAATATCACGTGACTAGAACCATCCCTAACTCATCCTTGTGGTCTATTAAACTGTGCCGAGGGCTCCAACTTTGCAATTAAATTCGAATAAAAATGTTTAATTCTTTGGTCATCTGGTAACACACGGTGTGAGGGATCAAGTGTTAATTCTTAGTATTTGACGCCTTTTGGTTTTAGGGTTCGAGATGGCAGGGTGAAGAGTGCAAGTGAAGCAAACCTTTTGGGATCAGATGTTTACTATGATCAACAGGAAACCCGGAGCTCTAGGAAACCACAAGGTAGGAAAACCTTAGCTCTAGGTAACCACAAGTTAGGAAACCCTTAGTTCTAGGGAACCACAAGATAGGAAAACCGTCGCTCAAGGAAGGAAACCCGGAGCTCAGGGAAAGAACAAGGTAGGAAACCCGAAGCTCAAGTAAACCATCAAGTAGGAAACCCGGAGCTCAGGGAAACAACAAGGTAGGAAACCCGGAGCTCAAGTAAACCATAAGGTAGGAAACCCGGAGCTCAAGGAAACCATCAGGTAGGAAATCCGGAGCTCAAGGAAACCATCAGGTAGGAAACCCGGAGCTCTAGGAAACCACAAGGTAGGAAACTCTTAGCTCTAGGAAACCACAAGGTAGGTAACCCTGAGATCGGGGAAACAGCAAGATAGGAAACCCGGAGCTCTAGGATACCATCAGGTAGGAAACCAAGAACTCAAGGAAACCAAACGGTAGGAAACCTTTACCTCAAAAACCCCTAACGAAGGAAACCTGTGTCTCATGGAATTCTGAAGGTAGGAAACCTGTAACTAAAGGGAACTGGGAACCACAAGGTAGGAAACCCATAACTCAAGGGAATCACAAAGTATAAAAACCATGGCTAACAGAAACTGCAATGTAGTAAACCTAAAGTTCTAGGAAGCAACAATCTAGGAAATCTGTAGTTCGAGGAAACCACAATGTAGGTAACTTAAAGTTTATGGAAACCACAATGTAGGAAACCTGTAGTTCATGGAAACCACAATGTAGGAAATCTGTAGTGCAAGGAAACTTCAATGTAGGAAACCTGTAGTGCAAGGAAACCACAATGTAGGAAACCTGTAGTGCAAGGAAACCACAATGTAGGAAACCTGCAGTTCAAGAAACCCACAATGTTAAAAGTCCAAAAATATTTCCAAAAGTCCAACCTAAAGACCTTTAAGGTATTTAGTAACCTTACCCGTATGAAACTCCAGGTTTACTTTGTATAGGTCGTGGATATCTAAACCAGGGTCTGGTTGAGGATGAAAGAGGAAGATCCCGTCTTGAATACTACCCAGAAGAGGAAGCAAGGTTTACCCAGGAAAGAGCTAGATCACAATTATCAATTGCATCAAGAGTCAACGGACCTGGAGCACTATCCTACAAGTAAGATTTTTTTTGTAATTTTTAAAGATTTTTTTTTTCAATTTACTATTTCAAAATTCGATCATTGGTCATCATTTGTTATTTTTCAAACAAAGTATTTTGTAATTTACAAGTAATAAACATTTGGTAATCAATAATCATAGACTCATATATAGAATCATATCATCTTTTAGATATGTTAATTTAAAAATTAACTCTTGTGAATAAGTTACTTTGAAAGTTAACTCTTGTTAATAGATATGTTAATTTAAAAATTAACTCTTGTGAAAAAGTTACTTTGAAAGTTAAACCATTGTTAAAAAGTTACTCAGGAATTTTCCCAACATTTCAACACATGTGCTTGTATTAATAATATTTCAACACATGTGCTTGTATTAATCAACACATGTGCTTGTATTAATGATATTTCAACACATGTGCTTGTATTAATAATATTTCAACACATGTGCTTGTATTAATAATATTTCAACACATGTGCTTCTATTAATAATATTTCAACACATGTGCTTGTATTAATAATATTTCAACACATGTGCTTGTATTAATAATATTTCAACACATGTGCTTGTATTAATAATATTTCAACACATGTGCTTGTATTAATAATATTTTGTTTGATTAAGGAATGATGCTCCGTTACTAAACGAATCCTTCTTCCCTCGCGACGTGTATGGAAGTATGGCCCAGCTATCTGATGTTGAAGGATTTAAATATCCTCATCTCCAACTTAGAAACCTATCCTATACCAGGGGGGATACCAGGGTACTGGATAATATTAATATAGAAGCCAGAGGAGGAGAAATAGTAGCTGTACTAGCAACTAAAAGTAAGTAATGTACTTTTAAATGTTTGATTATCCAAATTATTTTTAAATTATGATAAATTATTAGTTTGATATAACTAACAAATGTAGAAATACGACAATTATGATCTGATTTCTATTTCATGCTCATTGACTCCTCGGTGTAAAAATAAACGAAAATATAATTAGAATATGACAAAGAAATTCCTGATAAGATATAATTTAGTTTTAACATTTGGTATGTTTATATAATAACTTATTATCTATACAATATATAATAATTCATATGTATTTCTTCAGGTACGTACATTGAACATTGAAACAAAACATGTTTCTACCCCCTGGGGTCTAGATATTTAACTTAAAGGGGCTGTAAGCGTAATTTCAAGTGACCCTCCATGAAAAGATGGCAAAGACCGATTTACAACAATACCCATTAAACTTTGTTTGATCAAGCATGATATCTCTCTTTCCGTGTTTTTGTTTTTGAAAACTGTTTATTTTGATTTGTGACTTGCGCATTTCTTGCTTGTAAGAAAGACTGGAGACATTAAAAAAGTTAAATATAGTCAGAAAACGACGATATCTTCCACATTTTTGATCAAATTAAGGGAATTGTCATCTTTGCAGTGGAGGGTCACGTAAAATTACGCTTACAATCCCTTTAACATAAATATTAAGTATGAAAAGTATGTAAATACTAAGTTTAGTCCTACCGGTGAATAATAAAAGTAATTTCTGGGAAAATATTTAAGAAAATTCTGTAATTTAGTTTCATACNTAGCAATTGTGTCCCATACTTATGTAACTTAGGTTCCATAATTATATAGCTTGTGTCTCATACTTTTAAGTAAACCAAGAGAACAGAATGACAAATCTTGACAGTCAAAGAGTCAACAGAAACTACATTCTTATATCAGAATTCAGCTTTACACAACAGATTTAGATCAGATTTTGATACTGTTGATAAATAACAAAAAAATTGTCGTAGCCAAAAAAACTATTTTTTCTCGTTTTGTCCTTATCCTGAATACCCAATAAAGATTCACAAGGAACCCAAGATTTACATAATCTGTAAAATGAAGTTCTGAGAGGAGTAGGAACAAAGTCCATTGTAAATACTCCGGAGTTTGTTACATTCCTCCCGGAACAAAAAATACCTTTTTTGTTTGTAAACAAAGGTTTAAGGATAACAGGTGTATTTTGGGTTCTCATATATCAGACATAAACAGAAATTTGTAGATTAGTCTAAAGATTATAGTATTTAAATTTTCTAGATCTACATAAAAGGAATTGAGTTTTTGCCACAAACTCAAATTTTGTAATCCCTATATCTTTACAACCTGATAGTGTAATTGTCTATGATATGTCATACGTAGATTACTTAATCTAACAGCATTCATAGTTTGAAATATCAAAGGTCTTAACCATTGGGTTGCTAAGATACAGGGATTATAGAGTTTGAGTTTGTGGCAAAAACTCAATTCCTTTAGGATTATGGCTAACAGACACCAGAAATATATATTTTATAAATTTGGTGTTTAGGTGAGGATGGATCAGAATTGTGTAGAATAATAGCAAACAGACACCAGAAATGGGGAAGCAAGCTCCGAGCCGACATAGTGCTCAACGGAATCATGTAAGGAAACTCTTTGGGAAAATAGAATTTTTAAAAACATTGTAAATTGATAATCTTGGATTTAAAAATTAAACTCTTTCAGATAACTTTTTTAAATTGAACTAATATAAGTTTAAATTTTTAAATTATTCAAATTTAGTTTAAAAGATGAATTAGAATTTTAGTATTACTCTTTAAATCNTCATTGATAAGAATTAGAAATAAAATTGATATATGATAGAAGGATAGAAAGATAAAGATAGAAGTATAGAAAGATTAAGATAAAGGTAGGAATGATAGACAGATTGAGATGAAATTTCTTCTTAAAGGGACTGTATACATATTTTAAGTGCCACTCCATTATAAAGTTGCATGTCCTAATCAACACACAGTATAAGAGTTGTGAGAATCTGACCGGAAAAATTTTGTACACTGTAAACTTTGTCTTTGTCACAAATGCTGATTTTTTAAATCCCTATATCTTAACAACCCAATGTTGTAGACCTTAGATATTTCAAATTTTGACTTCTGTTATATCAAACAATCAAAGTTTTAAATGTCAAAGGTTTACATAATTTGGTTGTAGATATATAGGTATTAGAAAATTGGGATTTGTTGCAAAAACTCAATTTCTTTTTCAATGGAAATAATCAACAATTAAAAGCGTTTCTCGGATAAAAGGATAACTTTGACATCCTTAATCTGTTAAATGGCACTGTTGTGAATTAGATATGTAACTCTACAAATCGTGGGTTGCTTGAAATTACGTTGACAGTTCCTTTAAGCTAAAAATACCCAAACCTTATATTATATTAAGATGTACTCCGGAGCGTCTAGAAGACAGAGTTGCCCTTGTAGAACAAAACATAGAATTTACTCCGGATATGTCCGTCCGTCAAACCCTGCTCTTCCACTCCTTTCTCCGTGAACCTGGAACCCTGACAAGAGGACGGGATACTAAGGGTCGTATAAATGCTCTGATAGAAGATCTAGGGTTGAGTCAGGTCAAACATACCAGGGTTGCTGACCTCACGGTCTCTGAGAAACAGAGGTTAAACGTTGCATGCCATCTTCTCCTGGATACAGATATAGTTATATTAGATCAGGTAATCCAACCCTTACAGTGGTCAACAGAATGAAACATAAAGACGACCTAAAATCGATCTACTGTTTACAAACCAATGAATCTTGAAATAGTTTTTGAAACTTTTCTAAATAATATCTTCATTATTTCACTTTATTCTGGCCGTGTATACACTTTACAATCTGTAAACTATGCAGGTGCTGCATATTTAAATGATATAAACTTTATATGGAGACAACGGTAACCTTGAAACCTCAATTGGATTAATCACATAATTTCCCGGCTTAAACATTGTTAATTCTGATATTTTTTCCATCGTTTCTGAAGCATGAAATGCGCAAGTCACTTTTGCAGAGAAACCACAAATGAAAAAAACCGTTTTCAAAACCAAAAGCTGTCATATCTAATTCAAATTTGATCATACAAAGCCTTTAAGGGTACCGTTACCAATCTGACATTGATTGAGGGTCCAATAAAATTACGTTTAAAGGGACCGTTCACTTATTTGGGTAATTTGATGGTAAAGTAAATAAGCATATTAGCTATTCTTTGGTATTAGTCTTACTTAGACAACTGGGGGCTATAAAAAGTCGGTTTATCATTTAAATATGATAATTTTAAATGTTATCGGGCTGTTGTTTCTGAAAAAATGTTTAAATAGTGTTATGCAAAGGTATCATACCTTTGCGTTGGAATTCCAAGCGATAACTCGGCTTTTTCTCCGGTCATAGATATCTTTGAAAACTAAGCTTAATACCAATGAATATCTAATTAGTCTACCAGGAAATTACCCAAATAAGTGAACGGTCCATTTAAAGTCACACAACAAGAAATGAAGAGTTTTAAATCGTCGTTTGATCTTGGGGGCCTTTTTTCGTTAACATAATTATGCATTAATTTTACTTTAAATATTATAAATATTAAACAAAACTTTTAGATTTTAAATAACGTTTGAACTGCTAAATAATAACGAAATCAACCGAAATAATGAAGTTTGTATTAAAATTTTAATTCAGTAGACTAAATTTGTCGTACTTTGTCCCTCCATATTTAATGATTTGAATGTTTAGCCGACAAGAGGAATGGATATTTTCGACACCTTCTTCCTGGTTGAATATCTGCGACAGTGGGCTGCAAGGGGAAGAATAGTTATTCTTACAATACATCCTCCCACATACGAGATATTTACAATGATTAGTAAGGTGAAAATAACATTATCAAAAGTATCATTCCTTTATAAAGAAATATGTTTTTTTTTGGTTTGCAACATTGAACCCCGCTAATATAAACACTTAATTATGCAGGAGGCAACATTGAACCCCGCTAATATAAACACTTATTTATGCAGGAGGCCGGATGGGTTAAAACCAGCTCTTTATAAAAGAATTTCATTCTCATAGATATTAGAATCAATAGAAGTTAAACCTCTGTGGGCGTAGATTATTAAGTTAAAAAAATCAAAATATCTGAATCATTAAATCCATGTATTTGAGACTCAGAGCTTGATTAATGTCTCAATTCAAAATTTAAAAAAGAAATTAGAAAACTTGTGACTTAAATGGTTTTAAACTTTATTGTAAGGATGACGTTTGATTCATCTAAAATGGGAGATCTCCAAGGATTTATATTTTTTATCTAAATTTAAAAACACATTAATAGGTTTCTATAAATTACTAAGTTTTAGGCCGCTTCGTACCCCAATGGTCCCAATTGTCCCAATTGTCCTATAAATAATGTTTGTTTTTAACTGTTGCTCTGAAAGTTGCATTTTTTAATCATTCTCCGAGGAACTGAGTCTTTGCCACAAACTCAAATTTTCTAATTTTTATATCTTTGAAACCTTTGATATTTAAAACTAAGACCACTTGACCTAATAGAATCTTTAATTTGAAATATCGGGTTGCATAAATATAGGGATTAAAAATCAGAGTTTTTGGCAAAAAAAATCAGTTCCTTTTTGCGGAATTTTCTATTTGAATTGTTGCATTTTCAAATTGTTCAACTCTAACGGTCCAAACCTTCCCTTGGGTCATACTCATGTAATGTGCCCCTCAAAATTTGGATCGGTATAATCATTTTCTGAAAACTTTAGTTCATGCATTAAAGACCAATAAAGACCAATATACGCATGGTTAAAAAGTTTAAATTTTAAGTAAGAATAAAGACCATTGCTTGCATTGGTTCAGATTGAATGTTGTCAATCGCGTCTCTCGCACTCTATAAGTAGAAAAAGATAAATTTTATAAATAAAAAAATTGTGTTTAATAATATTTTTGTTTAGGTTGTACTCATATCCAGCGGGAAACTCATGTATTTTGGAAAACGGCGAGAGATGTTAGCTTATTTTGCATTTATAGAATATCCCTGTCCAGCTTACAAGAACCCATCTGATTACTACCGTAAGTTCTTCTTTCTTTTATATTTTAAGTCAAACCACAACAATCACAGTAAGAGATTGTTCATTTGGTGTACCGCCCCCGCATGCCGTCTGTACAGTCTGTTATATGTACAGTACTTGCTCTATAGCTGTATAAAAGTTGGAAGGGTACTTCAAATTAACCGGAGTTTCAGTAACTCTGTATTTTTACAAACTTTTGGAGTAGAAAAACGATTACGCTATTTACAAGTGTATAATGTATAATGTTAGATTCGTATAATTTGGAATTTACTGTTACCGTATGAGGACTGAAGGGGTTATAAACAGTACACAACGAACGACCCCAGCAATCTAAGTTTCTTTTCTCCATGGGGTTTTCGTCATCTATGACTATCGATCATTGCATGAATATAGCGCAGATCCAATCTTAAACGCCAAAATACGCACATAATACTTGAAAAATCTATCATTTTCTGCAAAAAAATTCTATTAACAAAATCAAATTTTTCCAAATGATTCATTCTTCTTAAATTTTCTGATTTGTCCCCCAAATCGTAATTTAAACCTATTGATGCAATCTAATTTGATGTGCAGGACCAGTGGGACGTATGATTTGGGCTTGATTTGAGCCTAGAATTTTCTGGAAAATTCTCTTGGATTTTAAGCAACTCACAAGTTTTAGACAGCAACGTGTGTGTTTAATTATATGAAAAAAAGTCATTTTTGAAATTCCAAATTCTTTTGGGAACCACTTGATCTAATAAAAACGTATATTTCAGTTGATTTGGTGACTAAAGACGACCTCTCTCCTGAAGCAATGCTGGAGTCCAGTCAGCGTATTGACACGCTGGGAGCCACCTATCGAAGAAAAGCGCAACCTCTCTCCGACCCTGGACCCCCCGGCATGCTGCCACCTAAGATCAGAAAAGCTAATTTGTTCATGCAGATATTTGGTTTATGGATGTAAGTATGTTTTATATCGGAAACGGAGTACATATAAAAAGATAAATTTAAAGGGACGGAGTACATATAAAAAGATGAATTTAAAGGGTCTGTACTCTGTAAACGGAGTAAATATAAAAAGATTAATTTAAAGGGTCTGTAAACGGAGTAAATATAAAAAGATTAATTTAAAGGGCCTGTAAACGGAGTACATAAAAAAAGTTGAATTTAAAGGGTCTGTACTCTGTAAACGGAGTACATATAAAAAGATGAATTTAAAGGGCCTGTAAACGGAGTACATATAAAAAGATGAATTTAAAGGGTCTGTACTCTGTAAACGGAGTACATATAAAAAGATAAATTTAAAGGGCCTGTAAACGGAGTACATATAAAAAGATGAATTTAAAGGCTCTGTAAACGGAGTACATATAAAAAGATGAATTTAAAGGGTCTGTAAACGGAGTACATATAAAAAGATGAATTTAAAGGGTCTGTAAAAACGTAAGGAAACACGAGATATTCATCTTTTCTCTCGGAAAATTAATTTTTTCAATTATGGTTGTTGATTTATGCTACAGAGACAATAAAGATGTCAGAATTCAACTCGAAGTTTAAGTTAAAAAACGACAATATCTTCCTCATTGTTACATAGTGCAGTACCATTATGAACGGGCTTTTAACTCTAATTAACTGAAGGATCACTTATAGCTATGTTTGCATTTCCTGTAATGCCATTCAATTTTTTGTCAGCTTATAACAATTGAAAGGAATTGAGTCTTTGCCACAAACTCTGATTTTTTAATCCCTATATCTAATACCATATACTTTAATATTGTAAACTATGACTTCTGTTAGATCAAATAATCTAAGCCTGAAATATCAAAGGTTGACACAATCTGGTTGTAAAGATATATGGATTAGAAATTTTAGTTTGAGAATAAAAAAATGGATAATTTCTAAGCCAGTTCTGAAAATACTTTTAAAAATCTAACAATTAATTAAAGATGATTTTTAACATAAGTTCTTTATTTTAGACGAGCTTTAATTTACATGTATCCGTTCAACGTAATCAGTTGGGTTAAAATCCTCCTGGTGTCCGGTATAATGTCAGTTTGTCTTGGCGGAGTATTTGTTGGAACAAGATGGCGCTTCTGGGATGACACGTGGCAGAAGGAGCCGGAGTTTGAACAGTACAATATCGCCGACAGGGTTGGATTCCATCACGTGATGCTGGTGGTGGGGGTGTGGCCGACCCTGCTCCACCTCGCTACGGATATATGGGCGGGGCAGGAACCTGTTCACAGGGATCTACAGGATAAACTATACTCAAAGTTTGCGTATTTGATTACTAAGGTAAAGCTGAGAAATTTTAAATGCATTGATTCCGCAATTTCAAAAGTTTAAACTTTTTAAGACTGCAATTATGATATTTTATCTTAAGAATTACTATAATTCCTAAGGTTGTAAATGTACTTTTTTAATTTCAATTTTAAAAAATGTAATTCAACATGAATGTAGAAACTATGTACAATGTACATTGTTGCTGTTTTCAGAGTATGTACAGTATACCAGCTGTTGGAGGTATATTCCTGTTGTACAGTATACCCTCCTACCTTCTCACTGGTATACACTATCCCAGTATTCCTGATCTCAACTCATTCTATCTATATATAGGTACGTAGTTTATTCTACGTTTTGTAAACCTTTAAAAATTAAACTCAATAACTGCCCTTTATTATAATTATTCAATTCTTAGAAAAGTAAATTTTTATTTTTAAATAAAATTATCTATTGTTTACAATTACATAAACATTAAAAAGCTTCTACACGCACCTCTGCCTCTTTAGTAAAAGTATATGAAGCATAAAGTCTGACCGCGTCAACCTTGTTGCACCGGCTAGTCCTGTCCATATAGCAAGGTACAATACAAACTGGGACCGGAATGGTTGACCCCGAGCGGAAATTCAAATGTACTATGGCTGGCCGTGTCTGACTTTCTTTTCTGAATTGAGAAAATGAAAAGATAAAAGAAGATATTTGAGGAAAAATATTAAATATTTGTTTATAAAAGAATAGTATTTAATACATAAGAAACTAGACTTGAGTTGAATGGTTCGGGGAGAAAAGAATTCTTAAATAATAAAGGAAGAAAGAAGGAAGAATGGCAGGGAATTTTATTATTCAACCTAGCACTCTATACCACTCTTTTCTTCAGTTATTTAGAATATTCCAAGTATTTCATATAAAAGTCAGAGCTGAGAGGGGGGGGGGCAGTGATTATAAAGATAAAATGAAATAATTATCTTTTCTAGTTTTCTTCAAAGGAACAAAACCAAATTTTTTAATTACACTTTACAACCTGATAGTGTAACTGTAAACCTTAGAAATTTCAAACTCAGACATTTTGATCTAACAGAATTCACACTTTGAAATATCGAAGGTCTACAACATCGGGTTGCAAAGATATAGATAGAATATTAAAGTTTTCTGTATAATTTTTTTTTCTTTTTTACGTAACTGAATTCAAAAATAAGCAATGCTGCAGGTTTTCTTTTTGTTGATGTTGACTTCAAAAGCTAAACTTTTTTTAGAATTTCTTTTTATAAACTTTACTGAGGTTAAAGAATAGATTCGATTAACAATATATTACTGAAATAAATCTACACATAAAAAAATTGAGAAATCGAAAATTTATAAATACTGATATGATACTCATACTAACAAATAATTGAGTATCTGCCACAAACTCTGATTTTCTAGTCCTAATATCTTTGCAACCCAGTATCGTAGACCTTAGATATTTTAAAGTATAAATTGTGTTAGATCAAATAATCTAAGTTTGAAATTTCAAAGGTTTACACCATCAGGTTGCGAAGATATAGGGATCAGAAAATTTAAATTTGTGGCAAAAACTCAATTTCTTTCGAACATTTAAAAATATATTTCATTTGCAACACTTTTAAAATACAAAACTCTTTTGGACGTTTCTTAATTAAAAAGAAAGAACAAGTACTACATTTATTCCAAAGTTTTATGGGTATCTCTGTACGATGTCTATTTATAAATCTGCTCAGGGCGAATTCAGGAATTTTTACATAGGGGGGAATAAACATTTTTTTCTTCCTAATTGGGGCTATGCACCCGATGGAGCCCGAAAACCAAAGATTTCTCTGATTCAGGAGTTTAAAGAATCTAGTTCTAATATCCTGTCTCCTGACTAGTTCTAGAACAGTAGGGATAGGTCTGGTTGGTATCCTCTCCACCTGTACTAGTTTAGTAGCAGGTTTCTCTATACATACAGAGGATATACCTCCTTGGTGTACATGGATCAGGTAGTTAATATCCTTCTAGCCGGGGTATAAAGTTCTATTTCAGTAATATCCTCCTAGTCGGGGTATAAAGTTCTATTAACAATATCCTCCAAGCTGGGTTATAAAGTTTCTTCAACAATATCCTCTTAGCGGGGTATAAAGTCATTCAACGGTATCCTCCTATATTCTATGTCAACAATATCCTCTTAGCAGGGGTATAAAGTTCTAATAACAATATCCTCCAAGCTGGGTTATAAAGTTTCTTCAACAATATCCTCCTAGCGGGGTATAAAGTCATTCAACGGTATCCTCCTATATTCTATGTCAACAATATCCTCTTAGCAGGGGTATAAAGTTCTAATAACAATATCCTCCTAGCAGGGTATAAAGTCATTCAACGGTATCCTCCTATATTCTATGTCAACAATATCCTCCAAGCCGGGTTATAAAGTTTCTTCAACAATATCCTCCTAGCCGGGGTATAAAGTCATTCAACGGTATCCTCCTATATTCTATGTCAACAATATCCTCTTAGCAGGGGTATAAAGTTCTAATAACAATATCCTCCCAGCCGGGGTATAAAGTTCCTTCAATAGTATCCTCCTAGGCAGGGTCAGGGGTCAGGGGGCGGAAACGTCATGTGTGTGTCTGTACCAAAAGAGTGTGTGTAAGGTTTACCGTACCAAATGTGTGTACTGTAGGTGTATACAGTACGTAAGAATCTCGGTATTTGTACAGTCCAGGAGAGTACATTTGTGCATTGTTAATTGTTTACTTAAAAATAGGTTTAATATGCATGTAATATATTATTTACATATTTAAGTCAAAACTATAAGCCAAATTTTCATGCAAAGAATATAATTGGATTAAAGTTTACAATAAACTACTTAATTATAATTGACGACATTGTTCTGCAATTTCCTTGACTGTAGTCATGTTGTGTGTCTGTACCAGAAGAGTGTGTGTAAGTTTACCGTACTGGTCTGTAAAGCAGTGCGACTGGCTTTCTCATGCCAGACCAGCGCCATTTCCTTTCCCTTTATTCCTATTCCCTGACCAGGATATAATGTATAATGGCCATATCCTTCTATATTCTATATCAACAATATCAAGTTACAAGTAAATGTCAATTTTTCTCCCAGTTGCACTAATATGGAAAATATATCTAATGTATTATCAACATTAAAAGAATTGTAAAAACTTTTCAGGAAAAAAATGCCATAATTATACTATTCTAACAGGGTAGTTATTTGCTTTCGTGAAATTTTGACAAAGTTTTAAAAATATTTTTTTTATCGCAATAATAAAAATTATAAATGGCGTTTTTTCTAGAGTATTGAATTTAATGCATGTCCTCCCGGCCCCCTGTTATCTTAGATTTTATCTTTTATATTTTGCAGGTATATTTCCCTCCAGTATTGGGTGATGGATCCCCTCCTCTCCGGAGATTTTACTCCGATCTCAACCTTCTACTGCCACAACAACCCTATGATAACCGACTCCGGGATCATCAAACAGATAGCATGCGGACTCCCTACCGGAGCACAAGCTTTACAGTACTTCCATCATCCGATTTCAACCTTGACAGGGTTGAGTTCTCTTAACTCTACCTCTCCTCTAATACTTTCCGTAGCGATCTGTCTGATCGCATCCTTAGGCATAATTATTTTCTCATTTGTAATTTTTCTATTTAAACAACCAGCAAAAAAAACCTCTTCCATAACTCTACTATAGAATATAAAGTGCTTTACTTGATAATTATACTCGCTTTTAGATAAATGTATATTTTTGTACTACTCGGTGTACAGTATGTATGATATTGTGTACAGTGAGCTGTACTGTAATTGTGCATTGTACCCTGTACAATAGAGACCAAATTTACATTGGACATTTGTAAATTTTAGTTTTGTAAAAAAAAGATTTAAAATTTTTTTAATGAAATAAACTATTTGTTGTATTTGATAACAAAATTTAAACTATCTATGGAATTGGGTGAAATTCTGATAAATTGTGTTCAACTGAAGTTGTTTAAAAGTTATAACAAAGTTTTTAAAATAATAATCAAAATAATACTCTTCCTTAAATTTGAATTTTCTAAATATAAATCTATGAAAGTTTTCATGTATTGAGAGAGATAGGGAGAGGAGTAGATAGACAGTGAGAAGACAGTAAACCAACCTTGGTTTAGTTTTAGTTCTCCGTTAGTTCCTCAATTCAACCTTGTTTATTTTCATTTCTCCTGGAGTAGGCTCAGAGATACTTAAAGATAGTTCAGGTATACTCAGAGATAGGTTCGGGTTCAGGTTCAGGGATACTCAGAGATAGGTTCGGGTTCTGGTTCAGGGATACTCAGAGATAGGTTCAGGTTCAGAGATACTTAGATATAGGTTCGGGTTCAGGTTCAGGGATACTCAGATATAGGTTCAGGTTCAGGGATACTTAGAGATAGGTTCTGGTTGTAGTTCAGGGATACTCAGAGATAGGTTCAGGTTCAGGGATACTTAGAGATAGGTTCGGGTTCAGGTTCAGGGATACATAGAAAAAGGTTCTGGTTCAGATTGAGGGATACTCAGAGATAGGTTAAGGTTAAGGGATACATAGAGATAGGTTCTGGTTCAGGTTTAGGGATACTTAGAGATAGGTTCAGGTTTAGGGATACTTAGAGATAGGTTCGGGTTCAGGTTCAGGGATACTCTGAGATAGTTTCAGGTTCAGGGATACTTAAAGATAGGTTCAGGTTCAGGGATACTCAAAGATAGGTTAAGGTTCAGGTATACTTAAAGATATAGGTTCAGGGTTTGGGATGCTCAGAGATAAGTTTAGATGCAGGGATACTCAGAGATAGGTTTAGGTTTAGGGATACTCTGGATACCCAGGTTCAGGTTAAGGTTTAGGTGTTTAGGTCTTACCAGATATTCAAAAAGAAAGAAAACTTGATATAAAAATCTTTCATTGATTTAGTGTCAGATGTTCCAAAACAATCTATTCGTAAACAAATTGTAAACAAACTTTTCTTAACTTTTCTGCCATATTGTGTTTTTTTTACTTTTCCGGTTTATCAATTATTTTCGTTCATTATTTCTACTGTTTACTACAGGGGTCCAGATAAAAATGAGACCATCGCGATCTTAGAACGTCTAGATACTTTAATTTGTAAACAATAGAAAAAGTAACCATCTTTACTCTTTAAATCTTGTTTACTAGTTTACTAGTTTACTATTTTACTAGTTTACTAGTTTACTAGTTTACTAGTTTACTAGTTTTCTAGTTTACTAGTTTACAAAAGTTGAATTGAATTTTGAAAACAAACTCTGGAAATACAACATTTGTTCTTGACTGACGTTTGACCTTGAGAAAGAATATTTGAAATTGTCAAGGTTTGATTCTGGTTCAGTTCCCCTCTTCTGCTTTCTTTCTCCTCCTTCCTTTTGCATTATTTCCGCTTCCTTCCTTCCTTTTTAGTTGCTCTTCTTCCTTTTTAGTTCCTCTTCTTTCTTCTGCTATATTTCCTTTCCTCTCCTTCCTTCTGATTAATTCCTCTCCTTCCTTCTGGTTTAGTTCCTCTCCTTCCTTCTGGTTAAGTTCCTCTCCTTCCTTCTGGTTTAGTTCCTCTCCTTCCTTCTGGTTTAGTTCCTCTTCTTCCTTTTGATTTAGTTCCTCTCCTTCCTTCTGGTTTAGATCCTCTTCTTCCTTCCTTTTTAGTTCCTCTTCTTCCTTCTGGTTTAGTTCCTCTTCTTCCTTCCTTTTTAGTTCCTCTTCTTTCTTCTGCTATATTTCCTCTCCTTCCTTCTGGTTAATTCCTCTCCTTCTTTCTGGTTTAGTTCCTCCTGATTTATCCTGGTTCCTCCCACCTAGCTTCTTACTGTTTTATATTTCTCCTGGTTCTTCAAGGTTCCTTACTGTTCTCTATATGTCTACTGGTTCTTCAAGGTTCCTTACTATAATTTATATTTCTCCTGGTTCTTCAAGGTTCCTTACTGTTTTCTATACTACTCCTGGATCTTCAAGGTTCCTTACTGTTCTCTATATTTTTCCTGGTTCTTCAAGGTTCCTTTCTGTTCTCTATATTTCTCCTGGTTCTTCAAGTTTCCTTACTGTTCTCTATATTTCTCCTGGTTCTTAAAGGTTTCTTACTATTCTTTATATTTCTCCTGGTTCTTCAAGGTTCCTTACTGTTCTCTATATTTCTCCTGGTTCTTCAAGGTTCCATACTGTTCTCTATACTACTCCAGAATCTTCAAGGTTCCTTACTGTTCTCTATGCAACTCCTGAATCTTCAAGGTTCCGTACTGTTCTTTAAATTTCTCCTGGTTATTCAAGGTTCCGACTTGCATGTTTCCGATAAAGTAAATCTGGCAAAATGTATAAATATAGCTAAAGTATCCGACATTATCCGTAGTAAATACAAGCTTTATAGCACTATTTCTATCACTTTAATGCTAGTTACACAGACAAATACAGGTATTATAGACCTCTATAAATGGAACTGTCACGGTTTTCAAATAGAAGAGCTAGAAACCAAGGGGAACCAGAAAGAACTACGAGAAACCAGGGAAAACTAGAAAGCACCAAAAGAAACTAGGAGGAACCAGGATGAAGTGGGAGGAACCTGGGGAAACTTGAACGCACAAGAGAAACTAGGAGGAACCAGGAGGAACTAGGAGGAACCAAGATGAAGTGGGAGAAACCTGAGGAAACTAGAAAGCACCAAGAGAAACTAGGAGGAACCACGAGGAACTAGGAGGAACCAGGATAAAGTGGGAGGAACCAGCGGAAACTAGAAAGCTCCAAGAGAAACTAGGAGGAACCAGGAGGAATAGAAGGAACCAGTGGGAACTAGAAAGAACCAGGAGAAATTAGGAGGAACCAGGGGAAACTAGAAAGAACTAGGAGAAACCAGGAAGAATTAGGATGAACTGAGAAGAACCAGGGGGAACTAGAAAGAAAAAAGAGTAACTAGGAGGAACCAGGGGAAACTAGAAAGAACCAAGAGAAACTAGGAGGAACCAGGATGAACTGGGAGGAATCAGGGGGAACTAGAAAGAACCAGGGGAAACTAGGAGGAACCAGGGGAAACAAGAAAGAACCAGGAGAAACTAAGAAGGACTCAGGGGGAACTAGAAAGAACCAGGAGAAAAAAGGAGGAACCAGGGGAACCAAAAAGATTCAGGAGAAACTAGGAGGAAACAGGAGGAACTAGGAGGAACCTTGGGGAACTATAAAGAACTAAGAGAAACTATGTAGACCCATGGGGAACTAGGAGAAACCAGGGGGAACAAAGAGGAACTAGAAGAAACTAGGAGGAACCAGGAGAAACTAGATGGAACTAGAAGAAACTAGGAGGAACCAGGAGAAACGAGGAGGAACCATAAAAAAACTAAAAGGAACCAGGGGGTACTAGAAAGACCCAAGAAAAACTAGGAGAAACCAAGGGGTACAATAAAGAACCAAGAGAAACTAGGAGGAACCAGGTGGAACTAGAAAGAACCAAGAGAAACTAGGTGGAACCAGGGAAACTAGGAGGATTCAGAAGGAACCATGAGGAACCAAAAGAATCTTGGAGGAACCAGGAGAAACTAGAAGGAATAAGAAGGAATCAGGCGGAACCAAGAGAAACTAGGGGAACCATGGAAACCATCAGGAACCAGAATTTACAAAAATAAACCAAATATGAATTTTTGATTTAATTTTTAACTTTTATCCTACATTTTTAAGAATTTTTAATTTTGGATTTTGTTTAGCTGAGAGGATTATATCTAGAATTGAATGCTATTATTTCAATACTCTGAGTGTTGGTAAGTCATCGAACAAAAGAAATATTCTTTTAACCATAAATCGTCCACCATTGTTAGGATTGATTGATTGAAGAGACAGGTTCAAACAATTATTCCTTTTACTCCTTCCGGGGAATAGTTTCTGGTCGGAGAAGGAAATCATGGAGTGGGGATATTCGCAAGAATACAGGGTTAGAGATTGTAAAGACGACCTGAACCTCGTATAATATATAACGATTCCTAGGGTAATTTAAGTCTTCTACCTTATATATACAGTGATAACCAGAATACTCTGGAATAGGGAGTCGACTTAATCTCAACTTAAAACTTCAAATTGTCCAATGAGAATGAAACACAACAATTGTGCAGTTCAAACAGACCTATTTCACTTAAAAAGTGATTTAATAAGTTAATAGTAAAACTATTTGCTTTGTAACAACACAAATGTACTTTAGTATTGCTTTGATGTCGTCTTCTTATTCCACAGCTTTCTGGTTCTCACTGTGGTTTTTTTTTTTTTTTTAATGATTCAGCAAAGAAAGAATGAAGTTTGCAGGGAACTAAAAATATTAGAAACAGCCAATATAAATTCTGTACAGTCATCTCTGAAGTCTCATTCTTTGTGTGTAACCCTGTGAATTACTATTTTGTATTTTTGGAAATGATAAAAGCAGTTAGATAAAATAAAAGAAGGTAAATTTCACCCGCGGAGCAAGTTATCTAACATTTTAAGAGTTATGTTTTTCTTCGGAAATTCGGATCCTTTCCATCAATTGGATACAAGATATAAACTCTCTCCATAGCACTGTATAATGATATATATTGAGGTCAACTGGGGAGGAACTTTTACTTACCCTCAACTTACTACAAACTTTAGTTCTTCCTTCCCTTAATTTTATTTGATGTATTAAGTTCAGTCATATCATTCATCTTCAAAATAGGATTTTATTGTTGGGGGGTCATTAATATTATTCCTTATTCGTGACACCGTAAATTACAATATACCTAGAATTATATCATGTCCAATTCTTCTTTTATAGGATTTGAGTAATTTTAAAGTGATCGTTCATCATTTAAAAAAAAAACATACTTGCTTTTTAATTTACGATTACAACTTAAAGCCACTCAAAGATGTATGGTAAGAATGTCTGATTAATATCTAATATTAATTCAAAACACTGGTTTTTAAGGAAAGAAATTCAGTCTTTGCCACAAACTATGATTTTCTTATCTTTGCAACCAAATGTCGTAGATTTTAGATACTTCAACTTATGTTCTATAAAATAATCTAAGTTTGAAATATCAAAAGTTTACATCGTCAGGTTTTAAAAATATAGGAATTAGAAATTTTTAGCTTGTGACAGGTTTCCACACAAAAAAAAATTGTGTGTTTTTTAGTCTTTCTCAGTTCATGATGAATTCATTGTAAATGTGCTATAAAGTTAAATTAATTCCCGGATTTTCTCAAAAAAAAATGTAGGATATAACATTTTCTCTGTATCTCCATTCTCCAAGGACTAAATGTAATCTAACCTGAACACCAATGTCTAGCTTAGGCATCGATCACACAGGGTGTCCCAAAAAAAGCTCTTTTAGACATTGTAGCAATCACCACGGTTTAATTTCTAAAATTTTAATATTTTTTTGAAATCTTCGAAAATTTCCTTTCGAATGATTTCAATTAAATGTAAGCCAAAATGTCAAATTTCAAACTGTCATAACTGTCATAATTGATATCATAACTATCTAATTGATGTCATAACTATCTAATTGATATCATAACTCTCTAATTGATATCAGTTAATCGATCAATCAATCATAGATTTTTACAATGTCAAAAAATTTTAAATGCAAAGATATAAGGAGTAGAAAATTAGAGTTTGTGGCAAAGGTTCATGCGTTCCTCTATCTCCTGAAACAAAAACCGATGAATATGGGGAAAGATCAGTTTAATGCTGATATGATGCCTAGAAATTAAAGGGACTGTACGCGCCATTTCAAGTGACCCTCCAGGCAAAGAGGACAATGCCCGATTCACAACGGATACCTTAAACCTGAATCTCTGATCAATAATTTGGAAGATATTGTTGTTTTTCTAGGCTTAGAAACCACAATTGAAAATAATCCTGATCAGAGACAGTCTTTACAGTTAAATTGTAAGTCGAGCATTGTCATTTATAAAAAGAGAAAAGGGGCCTTTAATTTCTACTATGTAACCTGTATCCAACTGGGGATAAAAAAGATCATGTTTTCGAGGTCTTCTAGAGGATCCCAAAAATTAAATGCTGCTATCCTAGGTTTTCTTTCAGAAATTTGATTTTGGACGATTGAGGTTCGACTTTTTCAACTTTATCACCGAGGAAATACTTTAGATTGAAAACAGTGGTTGTTGAATATTCTCATAACTTTGGTCCGAAGTTAAAAATTCTTCCTCTAAGTCCTGTGGACAGTGTGAAGACGAGATCCGTTCTGTAACTAAGACATTTAATCCAAGTGGCTGTACAAAATGTTTTCTGAGGCCCATGTAATTTAAAGAATTTGAGCCGCGGCTCAAATATGAATTGTATTAAATTTTCAAGATTTAAGCCAACGCTCAATTGAAACCGGTTTTTGGGGGGATTTAAAACGCAGCTTAAATTCATTAAATTCGGACTCGGACAGTTTATTTTTACTTGAACATACATTGCACAAATATAATTCAGTTAAACAAGGAAGAAGAGTATGATGAAATTTTGATAATCCAAAAGTATTAATTTTCTGGATAATGGGGAGCCAAGGCCCAAATTCTATCCGCAAACCTTTTTGATCCGCCCTTTGTTTCCCCACATATTTTTTAAAAAATTTTTTTCAACCACTTTTTGGTTGAAAATTCAGGGTTGGATTGGTAGGATGGCTGCAGAGTTCATGATGGGAGATATTAAGGATATTAGAGATCAAACCATTATATTTTCAGGGTTGGATTGGTATGATGGCTGCAGAGTTCAGGATGGAAGATATTAAGGATATTAAATAGTAAAATCTTATTTTATTCGCAAAAATATAATCTTCATAATGTGAAATGGAAAAATTTTAACGAAAATAAATGAATTTCGTTCCTTCATTTTTGCACCGGATTGTTTACTAATGTATATATATCTAGTGTGCAGAGCTAGTCCTAAGACGGTATAGGAACGGATCCTGCCGGATTGCTTACTATTGTATATATATCTAGTGTGCGGAGCTAGTCCTGGGACGGATATAGGAACGAATCCTGTCGGATTGTTTGATATTGCATATTTATCTAGTGTGCAGAGCTAGTCCTAGGAAGAATACAGGAACGAATCCTGTCGAATTGTTTAACATTGCATATATATCTAGTGTGCAGAGCTAGTTCGAGGACGGATATAGGAACGAACCCTGCAGTATTGTTTACTATTGTATATATATCTAGTGTGCGGAGCTAGTCCTAGGACAGATATAGGAACGGATCCTGCCGGATTGTTTACTATTGCATATATATCTAGTGTGCGGAGCTAGTCCGAGGACGGATATAGGAACGGATCCTGCCGGATTGTTTACTTTTGTTAATATATCTAGTGTGCGGAGCTAGTCCGAGGACGGATATAGGAACGGATCCTGCAGGATTGTTTACTACTCCCGCAGAACGATGCTCAGAAAAACTTGTAGATCTAGGAAAAAAATTTCTCTTCTAAATACAAAAAAAAAACAATAACAATTAGGAGTAGAACAAATATTAGAAAATAAATTCTTATTTTTTCTTTGCTCAGTCCTTTCAAATCCTAATTTAATTCAATGTTGTAATCCTAGTTCTAATCCTACAGTTATAATCCTAATTCTAATCCCAGATCTAATCCTAGTTCTAATCCTAGTTCTAATCCTAGTTCTAATCCTAGTTCTAATCCTAGTTATAATCCTAGTTATAATCGTAGTTCTTATCCCAGTTCTAATCCTAGTTCTGATTCTCGTTCTAATCCTAGTTATAATCCTAGTTATAATCCTAGTTCTAATCCTAGTTCTACTCCTCGTTCTAATCCTAGTTCTAATTCAAGTTCTAATCCTAGTTCTAATCCTAGTTTTAATCCTAGTTCTTATCCTAGTTCTAATCCTAATTCTAATCCTAGTTCTAATCCTAGATCTAATCCTAGTTTTAATCATAGTTCTCATCCTAGTTCTAGTTCTAATTCCAGTACTAATCCTATTCTAATCCTAGTATTTATCCTATTTCTCATCCTAATTCTAAACCTAGTTCTAATCCTAGTTCTAATCCTAGTATTAATCCTATTTCTCATCCTAATTCTAAACCTAGTTCTAGTTCTAATCCTAGTTCTAATCCTAGTTCTATAATCCTAGTTCTAATCCTATTTCTCATCCTAATTCTAAACCTAGTTCTAATCCTAGTTCTAATCCTAGTATTAATCCTATTTCTCATCCTAATTCTAAACCTAGTTCTAATCCTAGTTCAAATCCTATTTCTAATCCTAGTTCTAATCCTGGTTCTAATCCTAGTTCTAATTCTAGTTCTAATCCTAGTTATAATCCTAGTTACAATCCTAGTTCTAATCCCAGTACTAATCCTAGTTCTAATCCAAGTACTAACCCTAGTTCTAATCCTAGTTCTAATCCTAGCTCTAATCCTAGTTCTAATCCTAGTTCTAATACTAGTTCTAATCCTAGTTCTAATCCCAGTACTAATTCTAGTTATAATTCTAATTCTAATCCCAGTTGTAATCCCAGTTCTAATCCTAGTTCTCATCCTAGTTCTAATCCAATTTCTAATCCCAGTTCTAATCCCAGTTCTAATCCCAGTTCTAGTCCCAGTTCTAATCCCATTTCTAATCCTAGTTCTAATCTTAGTTCTAATCCTAGTTCTAATCCTAGTTCTAATCCTAGTTCTAATCCTCGTTCTAATCCTAGTTCTAATTCTAGTTCTAATCCTAGTTCTAATCCTAGTTTAAATCCTAGTTCTTATCCTAGTCCTAATCCTAATTCTAATCCTAGTTCTAATCCTAGTTCTAATCCTAGTTTTAATCATAGTTCTCATCCTAGTTCTAGTTCTAATTCCAGTACTAATCCTAGTTCTAATCCTAGTATTAATCCTATTTCTCATCCTAATTCTAAACCTAGTTCTAATCCTAGTTCTAATCCTATTTCTAATCCTAGTTCTAATCCTGGTTCTAATCCTAGTTCTAGTTATAGTTTTAATCGTAGTTCTAATCCTAGTTCTAATCCCAGTTCTAATCCCAGTTCTAATCCCAGTTATAGTCATAGCTCTAATCCTAGTTCTAATCCCAGTTCTACTCCCAGTTCTAATCCCAGTTCTAGTCCCAGTTCTAATCCCATTTCTAATCCTAGTTCTAATCCTAGTTCTAATCCTAGTTCTAATCCTAGTTTTAATCCCAGTTCTAATCCTAGTTCTAATCCCAAGTTCTAATCCTAGTTCTAATCCTAGTTCTAATCCCAGTTCTAATCCTAGTTCCAATCCCAGTTCTAATCCCAGTTTTAATCCCAGTTATTGTCATAGCTCTATTCCTAGTTCTAATCTTAGTTCTAATCCTAGTTCTAATCCTGGTTCTAATCCCATTTCTAATCCTAGTTCTAATCCTAGTTTTAATCCTAGTTCTAATCCTAGTTCTAATCCCATTTCTAATCCTAGTTCTAATCCCAAGTTCTAATCCTAGTTCTAATCCGAGTTCTAATCCCAGTTCTAATCCTAGTTCTAATCCCAGTTCTAATCCCAGTTCTAATCCCAGTTATTGTCATAGCTGTATTCCTAGTTCTAATCCCAGTTCTTCTCCCAGTTCTACTCCCAGTTCTAATCCTAGTTCTAATCATAGTTCTAATCCTAGTTCTAATCCCAGTACTAATCCTACTTCTAATCCCAATTCTAATCCCAGTTCTAATCCCAGTTCTAATCCTAGTTATAATCCTAGTTATAATCCTAGTTATAATCCTAGTTCTAATCCCAGTTCTAATCCCAGTTATAATCCCAGTTCTAATCCCAGTTCTAATCCTAGTTCTAATTCTAGTTCTAATCCCATTTCTAATCCCAGTTCTAATCCCAGTTCTAATCCTAGTTATAATTCCAGTTCTAATCCCAGTTCTAATCCCAGTTCTAATCCTAGTTCTAATCCTAGTTATAATCCTAGTTCTAATCCTAGTTCTAATCCCAGTTCTAATCCCAGTTCTAATCCCAGTTCTAATCATAGTTCTAATCCTAGTTATAATCCTAGTTATAATCCTAGTTATAATCCTAGTTCTAATCCTAGTTCTAATCCTAGTTCTAATCCCAGTTCTAATTCTAGTTATAATCCTAGTTATAATCCTAGTTCTAATCATAGTTCTAATCCCAGTTCTAATCCCAGTTCTAATCCCAGTTCTAATCATAGTTCTAATCCTAGTTATAATCCTAGTTCTAATCCAAGTTCTAATCCTAGTTATAATCTTAGTTGTAATCCTTGTTCTAATCCTAGTTCTAATCCCAGTTCTAATCCCAGTTCTAATCGCAGTTCTAATCATAGTTTTAATCCTAGTTCTAATCCTAGTTCTAATCCTAGTTCTAATCCTAGTTCTAATCCTAGTTCTAATCCTAGTTCTAATCCTATTTCTAATCCTAGTTCTAATCCTAGTTCTAATCCTAGTTTAATCCTAGTTCTAATCCCAGTTCTAATCCCAGTTCTAATCCTAGTTCTAATCCTTGTTCTAATCCTAGTTATTAATCCTAGTTCTAATCCTAGTTCTAATTCTAGTTCTAATCCCAGTTCTAATCCCAGTTCTAATCCCAGTTCTAATCCTAGTTATAATTCTAATTCTAATCCCAGTTGTAATCCCAGTTCTAATCCTAGTTCTCATCCTAGTTCTAATCCAATTTCTAATCCTAGTTCTAATCCTAGTTCTAATCCTATTTCTAATCCCAGTTCTAATCCCAGTTCTAATCCTAGTTGTAATCCTAGTTATAATCCTAGTTCTAATCCTAGTTCTAATCCCAGTTCTAATCCTAGTTCTAATCCCAGTTCTAATCCCAGTTCTAATCCTAGTTGTAATCCTAGTTGTAATCCTAGTTCTGATCCTAGGTCTAATCCTAGTTCTAATCCCAAGTTATAATCATAGCTCTAATCCCAGTTCTAATCCCAGTTCTAATCCCAAGTTACAATTCTAATAGCTATAAACTGTATTATAATCCTTGTTATAATCCTAGTTATAATTCTAATTCTAATCCCAGTTCTAATCCTAGTTGTAATCCTAGTTATAATCCTAGTTCTAATCCTAGTTCCAATCCCAGTTCTAATCCTAGTTCTAATCCCAGTTCTAATCCCAGTTCTAATCCTAGTTGTAATCCTAGTTGTAATCCTAGTTCTAATCCTAGGTCTAATCCTAGTTCTAATCCCAAGTTATAATCATAGCTCTAATCCCAGTTCTAATCCCAGTTCTAATCCCAAGTTATAATTCTAATTGCTATAAACTGTATTATAATCCTTGTTATAATCCTAGTTATAATTCTAATTCTAATCCCAGTTCTAATCCTAGTTCTAATCCCAGTTCTAATTCTAGTTATAATCCTAGTTCTAATCCTATTTCTAATCCCAGTTCTAATCCCAGTTCTAATCCTAGTTGTAATCCTAGTTCTAATCCTAGTTTTAATCCTAGTTCTAATCCCAGTTCTAATCCTGGTTCTAATCCCAGTTCTAATCCCAGTTCTAATCCTAGTTGTAATCCTAGTTGTAATCCTAGTTGTAATCCTAGTTCTAATCCTAGTTCTAATCCCAAGTTATAATCATAGCTCTTATCCCAGTTCTAATCCCAAGGTATAATTCTAATAGCTATAAACTGTATTTTCCCCAGAATAATTTCTAAGTTTAGGAATTCTTAGTATTTTGATGAACTCTGATTGCACCCCTGGGTTTCTAATTTAGACTTTACTTCAAACTTTGCAATGAATACTGTATTACTTTAATACATATTCATCCGTTATGTTTGTTTAAGAAAAATTACATTAAACTTATATTTTACTCTTAATTCTTTTCGTCTGGATCTTCTGACAGGGTAGTATTAAATGGACCAGACACGTAATTTCAAGTATCATTTGTCAGTGACATGTGCAATTCACATTGGTATTCCTTCAACCTTTGCATGCAAATTGTATTTAACTGAATTGAGTCTTTGACAGAAACTCAAATTTTCTTATCCCGTTATCTTTGTAACCTGATAGTTTAATATTTAAAACTTAGGCTATTTGATCTAACAGAGTTCATAGTTGGAAAAATTTAAGGTCTCCGACATTGGGTTGAATTTTCTTTTTGTACAAACTAAATTCCTTTGCACGGAGTTCACACTGTACACAAGCGTGCATCCGAGTTCTCGGCTAATAGCACTGGATTTTCAGCTAGAAAAATAAGAATTTCATCGTCAGAGTATGAAAAGAACAATTTGGTCAGAGTACGAAAAGAACAATTTGGTCAGAGTATGAAAAGAACAATTTGGACAGAGTATGAAAAGAACAATTTGGGCAGAGTATGAAAAGAACAATTTGGTCAGAGTACGAAAAGAACAATTTGGACAGAGTATGAAAAGAACAATTTGGTCAGAGTATGAAAAGAACAATTAAGACAAAATTACAGTTGTACTCCTCACAACTAAGGAAATAATGTATTAAAAAAACAAAATGAAAGAAGAAAATTGAATTTTTGAAAATATTATTTATTCAGAAGATCAAATAGAGAAATAAAAATACTTATTTCCACATCTAAATATTTCAACTTGAAAATATCAATCAGAAAGAATATTATTTTCTTCGAAATATCTTTAAAATACATTTTCTTCAAAGTACATTTCTTCTAAATATCTTTAAAATAAATTTTCTTCTAAATACATTTCTTCTAAATATCTTCAAAATACATTTTCTTCTAAATACATTTTTCTTCAAAATACATTTTCTTCAAAATACATTTTTCTTTGATATAATTTTTCTTCAAAATACATTTTTCATCCATTAAAATTCAATTTTCTTCTAAATAAATTTTCTTTAAAATACATTTTTCTTCAAAATACATTTTTCTTCAAAATACACTTTTCTTCAAAATACATTTTTCTCAAAATACATTTTTCTTCAAAATACATTTTTCTTTAAAATACATTTTTCTTCAAAATAAATTTTCCTCAAAATACATTTTCTTCATTATACATTTTTCTTCAAAATACATTTTTCTCAAAATACATTTTCTTCAAAATACCCTTTCTTAAAATACATTTTTCTCAAAATACATTTTCTTCAAAATACCCTTTCTTCAAAATACATTTTTCTTGAAAATACATATTTCTTGAAAATACATTTTTCTTGAAAATACATATTTCTTGAAAATACATATTTCTTGAAAATACATATTTCTTGAAAATACATATTTCTTGAGTTGGATAATAACGTAGAGGACCTGCGAACTGAACTAAGGTCAATTCAAACCCTCATAAATAATTCAGTTTGTAATATTGTAATTTTATTGATAATCAAAATAAATAAAATAAATAATAATTAAAACTGATAATAACTTTTTATAACACTATAGTTTTTGGTTTTCAGTGCTTAAAAGTTATTTGGATTTTTAGAATTCAAGTCCAAAAACTCAATAACACGTCGTAAGAAAATAGAACTGTTCTTGCGCTTTTATGTCGATACAATGCTTTATTCTAAATATTTAACAAGTTTTCGACAAAGCATTATGCAAACATTTTTGAAACGTTATCAATTGTTTTTTAATTTAAATTAAAAATGTTGTTCGAGAACAGGCAAATATTATCAAAAAAGTCAAATTAGAATTATAACAAGAAGCTGCGGTAGCCATACATTTGTAAAGAATAAATCTAAGATTTTCATTTTGCTCAAAATAAATAAATATTTTAAAAAAGATGATTTTTCCTTGTCAGGAGTTGGGTTTTTGCCACAAACCCAAATGTGTTAATCCCTATATCTTTGCAACCTGATTGTGTAAAACTTTTTTGATTTAATAGAATTTATATATTGAAATACCTACGACATCGGGTCGCAAAGATATAGGGATTAAAAAATCTGAATTTGTGGCAAAGAGTTAATTCCTCTGTTGATAAAATCTTGGAAAACTTTAAATTACAATGCTACAGTGCACTTTATCACTTATTGTCAATTCATGGTCAATTATTTTTACAGTTTAATTGGTTCCAGATTTTTTTAATAAAAATTAGGATATTTCTAAATAATTTTTTCAATAAATAGTTTTACTTATATTTTAATTTCTTGTTCAAAATCTTCTAAAGATTGTGTAAACCACCTTTACACTTCATGATATTTAAAATACAAAGCCTAAAAAAGTACAATATATAGCAAATATGTAAAATCTACTTTTAATGCCAATCCAAACTGAAAACTGAAGATTTGTTTTAAAAATAAGACTCGTGTAGTCTTTAATTGGCCTAAATTTTATTTTCATGAAGGTCGGATTGAAATAAAACTAATGTTCACGGGCGGCCGTAATACAGTTGAATTTCCGAGCCGGGTCAACCTTTCCGGTCCAGTTTGTACTGTACCTAGCTCTACGGACAGGACTAGCCGGTGCAACAAGGTTGACGCAGAGGTGCGTGGGTTTATCCCATTAAATTTTCATAAATTCACGACACTAGTTTTCATATTAGATGCCCAAAAACCTAATCTGAAGAAGTAAAACTTAAATAAAAAATGAAAAAAATATTTAAAATTATTATAAAATCTTAGTTATTTATTTTTATTTTTATTCAACACACATTATGAAAGAGGTTTGGTTTGGTGAAGTGAGAATATAACAGAGAACCTGGAGAAGTTTGAGAAGTTTCAACAGAACCAGGAGGAGGAGTACTCTAAACTCTCTCTTCAGCTCCAGGTATACCTTAGAGTAGGTAAAACCAGGAGGAGGAGTAATCTTAACTCTTGCTTCAGCTCCAGGTATACTTTAGAGTAGGCAGAACCAGGAGGAGGAGTAATCTTAACTCTTGATTCAGCTCCAGGTACACCTTAGAGTAGGCAGAACCAGGAGGAGGAGTAATCTTAACTCTTGCTTCAGCTCTAAGTACACCTTAGTGTAGGCAGATTATTCACAATACAGATATATCAATGATAAACATGAAGTCACAAAAGTTCTGATATATATATGTAGACCTACGGAAAACAAATAATGAGTGTAGAAAAACCTCGACCCCAACGAATAGAAATAAATTTTCATAAAAGGAAAGAAATATAAACAAAGAACTGCGTGTGTTTACATTACTCCCAAAAACTACAGTACACTTTCTATGTAAACATAAATATACATTTTTCCTGGTCTGTCCTCCTTGACCCATAAATCCAATATAAACATACTCCTGAGTTTATTGTCAAAATAGATCAACCAATCAAAATCAAATATTAAATTAGAATTTAGGGAAAAAATATTCCAACAACATCTATTTTTTCGTATTTTCCATATTTTCTTCATGAGCACTTGATTTTTTATTTTCTTATTTATTTATTAAGGTTAAAAAAAAAAACTGTCTATAAATCTCAATTGGGTCTGAAAGTTCCATTTCCTTTAATTTATTAGAATATAAACTTAAATAAATACAAATAATCAACCTTGCGGGTAAAGACGGATGTCACAGCCTGACATGGAATCAATTTTCACAAAAATAATATATGAAATATTCTGGTCATAGCTGAATCTATTTTCAACATTATCAAAATCAAATACTTTTATCTTCCTCGGATACTAAACGAACACTGATGCATCTTTTCTTGTTTAAAAATTCCGCCCAGAGAGAACTGGTTTTAATGTGTACGCAGAGTATACGCAACTACAATTAAATTTCCTTTCATTATAACCTTGTTTACTTATATCTATCGTACTATTTGTTTGTATGTGTGTGCTGACGCCCACAACCCTGAACTAAAATAAAAATATTACCAATCGTGAAAAAACTTATTAAGGTTTGTATGAATGAGAATAAAAGACTGAATGATGAGCTGGTTGAACTGGGTCGGGAACATGCTGAAACTCTGGAGAAACATGAAAACCTGCTCGAGAGGTTAGATAATAATTCAATAATGATAATAATAATCTATATAATAAAACAAGATATTCTTATATATATATGTTGCGTATAGCCGGCCAAACGGCTGGACCGATTGGGCTAAATTTTTTGTGGACACTCATGGGTGGCGGGGGGTGTTATAGGCTAAAAAAAATCTGTAAAAAATGCTCGACTTTATCGGTTTAATTCCAACTGAAGATTGGGTCAGACGAGTCCGACGCATGCAACATATTGTCTTGGAAATTATATAAAACATATTTATATATTAGGATTGTCTGTCTGTTTATGGAAAAATGTCGGTTTTTAAGGTTCCATATAGTTAAATGAAACCTTAAATGCAAGAAAAATACTACGGTTTTGCTGTACAGTCGTCTTTGATGTCTCATCGTGTATTGGCAACCCTGTAAATTACAGATTTTTTGATAGACTTTAAATGATAGAAAAATCCCGACATAGATATAAAGCTTTATTTAATTTGGCTTAGCATATTCTATAAATCCATAGAGAATAGAATATATATTAGAGAGGAATTTAAAGAATCTCTCGGTATGAATTTTTTCAGTCCCTTTCAGCCTGAAAAGGGAGTTCAAAGTGTACAAATCATGTAAATGTTCACAAATTATGAGTAGAGTACATTAATACAGTATGTTCCCTAGACTATTCATTTAAATTTCGAAATTTTTAAAGCTGTTAAATAAACGTTATAATGAATTAGGTGAATAAAAAACATCATTTGATTTATAATTATTATGGAAAATCATCGTTTGTAAAGTGAAAGGCATAGAGTCTATGTAAAATGATCATTGGTCAATTATGAAACCAGCCTATTTCATAATTTGGTTTTCTTTTAACATTAATTTTAGATTTTCTATAAAATGATATTCCAGGGCCCCAAAGGTTATATAGCATAAATATGTGAAGTACACCTGCAGTATGGAAACAGTACAACAAAATGGCCGTTTTACACTTTTTTCTTGTAAATTCCCCTCTAATATATATTCTATTCTCTTTGTATAAATCCCAATTGAAAACTATTTACAATAAAATTTGTAAAACGTAAAATAAATAATCGCCGTTTTAAAGTCTAGTGTATCAGCCCTTCACTCTATTCTATCAAGGTTCTAAGAAATCTGCCAAAATCATTGCATTTTTTCATGTTTAATGATATTTTCAGACTATCGCTTATTCCACGAAGAATATACGTCAGCTCTTCCCATATTGTTAAATCGAAAAAAAAATCAATAATGCCAAAATTTTAGAAATTTAGTTTTTAAATTTAGCAATATTTTTTCCTAAATTAAAGGGACTGTTTTCCTAACACGTTAAAAGAACTGTTTTCCTAACAAATTAAAGGGACTGTTTTCCTAACAAATCATAGGGACTGTTTCCTAACAAATTAAAGGGACTGTTTCCTTACAAATTAAAAGGACTGTTTTCCTTACAAATTAAAGGGACTGTTTTCCTAACAAATTAAAGGGACTGTTTTCCTAACTAATTAAAGGGACTGTTTTCCTAACAAATTAAAGGGACTGTTTTCCTAACTAATTAAAGGGACTGTTTTGCTAACAAATTAAAGGGACTGTTTTCGTAACTAATTAAAGGGACTGTTTTCCTAACTAATTAAAGGGGACTGTTTTCCTAACAAATTAAAGGGACTGTTTTCCTAACAAATTAAAGGGACTGTTGCCGTGTTGCATGTCCGATTTACAACGGTACCTAAACCATAATCTGATAAAAATGTGGAAGACAAGGTAGTTTTTTGAATTAAAAAAAATTTTACTTCTAATAATTTCTCCAATGTTTCTGAAGTAAAAAATGCGCAAGTTATTTTTGTACAGAAAAGACAAATAAAATAATCAGTTTCATGAATTAAACAACATGGACAACAATTTTCTAATTCGTATTTGATCAGACAGCTTTCAAGGGTACCGTTGTAAATCGGACATGCCACTTTTTCCACGGAGGATCATTTGAAATTATATTTACAGTCCCTTTAATATGATATTTTTTTCCCATAATATTAGATTAGGATCAAGAATATGATTGAATAAAGCCCCGACTTACAGCAATATTGTTAAATATTCCCAAATAGAGTCTAGTACCACTCTCCACTAAACCCCACTATTTATTCGGTCAGTGCACTGCAAGTCACTGCAGTACACACCGAAATTTTAGTTTAGGTGGTACAATAGATGGCAAAGTAGAATTTGTACACTCTTAGTACAGCTGCAGTATTCTTACGTCACAAGTGTCAATTCCGTTTTGTGTCCGACAAAATTAATAATAATAGTGATAGTTTTAGAATAAAGTGCTTGTCTTATAGTAAAATAAGTGCAATTTTATGTGTTCCTTATTTTCTGTTTTTGCACTTTTTTATTTTATCTGTCAACTAATGTGAGACAGTTTCGTTTTCCTTATTATATTGGAAACTTGTGAAATCGTGTTTAATTGGTCCATTTCTCTGTTGCCACCTATTGTACTTGATATTTGATTTTTACCTAATCCTTAAGAATATAAATATATGTTCTTTCTATATATTTCTATATCTGTATATCTGTGTTTGTAAATATGTATATTTGTAAATATGTATATTGTATATCTGTATATTTGTAAATATGTGTATTGTATATCTGTATATTTGTAAATATGTGTATTATATATCTGTATATTTGTAAATATGTATATTTGTATATCTGTATATCTGTGTTTGTAAATATGTATATTGTATATCTGTATATTTGTAAATATGTATATTGTATATCTGTATATTTGTAAATATGTATATTGTATTTCTGTATATTTGTAAATATGTGTATTATATATCTGTATATTTGTAAATATTTGTATTGTATATCTGTAAATCTGTATATCTGTATATCTGTATATCTGTATATCTGTATATCTGTATATTGTATATCTGTATATCTGTATATCTGTATATCTGTATATTGTATATCTGTATATCTGTATATCTGTATATCTGAATATCTGTATATCTGTATATCTGTATATTGTATATCTGTATATCTGTATATTTGTATATCTGTATATCTGTATATCTGTATATCTGTATATCGAACTAACATCTGTAAGTTTGTAGAGTTAGGTATGGAGTAGGAAGGGAATAAGTAGAACTTGGACCGATTAATCAAAACTTCAAATTATAGAACCCGAACCTTCAAATGTTGTTCATCTTATAAATTATTTTTTAAATAAGTTCTTATAATAAACAAGAATTAATTTTATAGAAGTTTCAATAATGTTTGCTTCGAAACCGAACTAAAAAATATCTAATCTCTTCCTTTGCAACCTGATGGTAGAACCCACGCTATTGAAAACCTTGACTTTAATCCAAAGTTTGGAATATCAAAAGTCTGCGACATCCGGTTGCAAAGATATAATGATAAGAATACTATAGATTATCTCTCTGGATACTTAATTTGTATGGTTCTCTCTGTTTTCTTATAATTTGAAGCCAATAACAATTAACAAAACATTTCGACGATTTTTTCGACATCAATTTTGCTACAAATTTTTTAAATATATTAAAAATCTAATTTACATACTACATACTTTCGGAGAAATATTATGAATTATTTTCCCGCATTTTTGAATTTTAGATTTATATTTTCTGTTTCAGATTTATTCAGTTCAAAGATATCTCAGAACTTGCCGCTCAGTCCCATCAAGATAATTTCACGCGGCAACAATCTGAGCTGAGCAACCTTGCAGAGAAACAACAGGAGTTTGGAAAACTTCAAACAGAAAAGTTTGAATCCGTCTCTGTTTGTATCCAAGAACAGTCTCAGGAGTTCCAAACTAGACTTGATCAGACTAAATTTGAGATAGGAAAAAACATCGATAGCATCGAGAATGAGAGATTAAAACTCCAGGAGAAGGTTGAAGAACGATTCTCCGACCTGGAGAAGGAGACTGAGGATCAGATTAGACGGAGTACAAAAGCTGAATCCAGTATACTCAGCAACCTGGCAGATATTCAATCCTTGAAGGAAGAGATTGAGACCAGGTTTACAGAGGTTCAGGAGAAACAGAGAGTTAACGATCAGACCCATCAAACCATCAAGCAAGATCAAGCAGAATTTCAGGATAAAACAGAATCCGCTATATCCTCTTTGGAGACTCGGATCCAGGAGGTTGGAGTAGAGCTAGAACTCAACTCTAAGGATCATGTTAAATTTTCTCATGATATAAACAAAAACAAGGTGTCCCTGGTTAACTATGAGGAAACCACCCAGATGGAACTTAACTCCATCAATCAAACCCATGAAGAGCTCAGAAACTCTCACGAACGCCTGAGCAAGGAAGTTGAAGAACAATCCAAACTTGGAAGAGAAAACCAAACCCGAACCAACAAGAGTTTGAGAGAACTTGGAAACAATGCGGAGAAGATAGAACGCAACCTCGAACTTCTTGACTCCGAGGTTAAGAAGAACGAGAGCTCAAGGAAGAACAACGAAACATCGATGAACAACAAGGTTGAGTTGATCACGTCCAATCAGGAAGATCAGGGGCAGATGTTGCAAGGACTGCAGGAGAAACTGAACAAAAACGAGGAGAAGATGGAGGAGAATAGAGTCAGTTTCCAGGAGGAGACGGAGAACTTGATTCAGAAGAACCTGAGTTTGCAGGACGAACTGGAGAGTAAGTTCTCTAACTCCGTAAACCTGATAGAAACCGTCCAGAGTAAACTAGCTCAGGATCTGAGTTCTCAAGCCAATAATCTCAAGCAGCTACTCAACACAGAGAGCAACCTGGTTTGGTAAGCTTTAAAACAGTAAGGTTCGGGTAGAATAAAAATATCTTATTTGAGGAGCTATTGTTAGTTAAAAACTTTTTGACAAGTAAACGGTGGTTTATCATCGACCTAATTTTCCGTTCCGTAAATTCAAAAGTCCCCCCAAAAAATGAGGTTACTTTTATATCTTCTTTAATATTAAGTGGTTTCTTGTCTTAAATTACTTAAAACTCCCAATCTTGAGATTTTGTATCTTCAAAGGAATTGAGTCTTTGCCACACATTTTTATTTTCTAATCCCTATTTCTTTACAACCCAATGATGTCGTAGAGCTTAGATTTTTCTAAATAAATTGAAACAGATCAAATAAGCCAAGTTTGAAATATCAAAGGGTTACGCCTTCAGGTTGCAAAAATATAGGGTTAAGAAAATTTAAGTTTGTGACAAAGGCTCAATTCCTTTGAATGAAATATAAAAGGTAGGTTGAAAGTGAAAGTGAGACTTGGTGTATAAGTTTTAACAAACAAGAGAAAATTGAACACGATTTTTCTGTTAGATCTGTAAAACTTGTCATCAATGTATATTCCAATTAGAATATTTGGTTCCGAATATTCACAAATATTGTAAGAATTCAAATATTCCTTCTCTTCAATTTAACAAACCAAATATACAGTGTTTGAAGATTAATATTCTAATTTATCATTTCAAACCTAATCTGGATTTTTAAAACCAAAGTTTTCTACTTTTTTGTTTAAAATCTGAAAAATTGAAGTAATTATATCTCAGTTTAGTCATGAAATTGAAGCGATATATTCTGTTCTACGCAATTTGTATTTAATTTTTTTTTTGAGACAGTCAGAATGACAGTATTTATCAATCTTGGTGTTATTACAGTAATAACCAGAAAACAATGAAATAGGAAGACGACATTATAGCAATACTTAAATGTATTTGATGGTGTTACAAAGCAAATAGTTTAACCAGACACTTATAAAATTACTTTTTTTTTAAATGGGTCTGTTTACACTGCAGAATTGTTGTGTTTCATGGTTATTGAACTTTTTAAAGTTAAAACTTGATTCTCAAAGCCGTCATACTATTCCAGAGTTTTCTGGTTATCCTTGCGTTGTTTTCTATGAGTACATGTCTGATATTTTTGTGATTTATTGAAACTATAAAGAATAGAAAAATTATTAAAACGAATACTTATTGTTTTTATTTATAAACCACTTATTTGACCACCCATTTATTCGATAAGTGGCTTTGAAAGAACTGTAAGCGTGATATGAAGTAACACAACGGTACCCTTAAAAGCTTTGTCTGATCAAATATGAATTAGATATCCATGTTTATAATTTTGAAATTATATTATTTTCAACTGTGGTTTCTCGACAAAAACGACTTAGCGTTTAAACTGCTGGAAGAAATATGGAAATTATCGGAATTAAACACTTTTAAGTCAAGAAAAACGACAATATTTTCAACATTATTGATTTAGATAAAGGTTTCAAGATTACCTCTATGAATCGGAGGCCCACTTGAAAGTACGCTGGCAGTCCTTGTGACCACTTAAAGAATACTCATACGCCCACTTTTGAAGGGAGGGAGGGGGGGGGGTGATAATCAATACTTGGTTTTAATTGTTTTTAATGCTTGTTTTGAAAACTAAATCTTGTTAATTTGTCTAGGACGGACATGAATGAGCTAAAGGTTCGGGTTGAGGAGGAGGAGGAGAGGTTTAATTCTAAAATATCCAAGTGTAACAAAGATCTTGCAGCTTGCAAGGATGAACTCATTATACAGGAACGAATAAATACATTTATGGAAAAATAAGAAACTTAAACTAACAGAAAAACCTGAGCTTAATAATAGACCTTAAAAAGAGAATTATTCAGAAATCAGAATTATTCAGAAAGAATGAGATTTCAGGAACCTGAAAATGAGACGAAATTGGAACGTTAAATTTGGTTTGCTATTTAGTCTTTGACACAAACCCAAATTTTTGTAACTCTATATGCAACCCAATATCGTATTCCAAACTGTGAATTCTGATAGATAAAATAACCTAAGTTTGAAATTTTCAAGGTTTTCATCATCAGGATAAAAATATATTGGGATTAGAAAATTTGAGTTTGTGACAATTCGACTTCATTTCATTAAAAGTAAACTTTATTAATTAACAAAAATACAGCTGCTGCGATTAATTTTTAAGCGTAGAGAGTAAAGTCTTTGAAGGCAGGTTTTGAAAGACGTTTTTGTCTTTCTAAATTTGTGTTAAACTCTAAATTTTTGTCAAATTCTAAATCTATAGAGCTACAAAGTATAATAGTTCAAAGATTTGATGCAGCCTTATATTTTTTAAACATTTTATGCTGCTTAACTTAAGAAGTTAAGGAAGTATGTTTCAAGAAAACTTTGGATTAATAAGATTGAATTTCACGAATAGGACCAGGGACGTTTTCAAATGAACTGGAATTTGTCCAGGGGGGGGGTAGGGGCTTAACTAGGGGAGTCCCATTGTGAATAGGGCATGTCCCTCTATAAATAAAGAGTCACTTTAAAGTTGTTCATCTCTGCCACTAGAGAGAACGCTTGACTCCGGATAAAAGGATTCAACGTCCAAAGTCTAAATGAGCACTGAAGGGTTTCAGGTAGAAACGTTTCGCTTTCTCTGTATTAAACGTTATAACCAGGAATAAAGGGACTGTAAGCATAATTTCAAGTAAATCTCTATGCAAAGATGGCAATGCCCGATTCACAACGGTACGAATGCTTCGAAAAATAATCGATGACTATTGATTGTAATATCTAAAAGATTTGTTTGGAATTAAATTGATTATTTTAAGATCCGAGTTGAATGTTGAAACTTTCTGAATTTGTATGGACGCTACATTCTTCAGTATGAGTAGTTTTTAACCATTTTCTCCTTGTAGACGCAACAGATAGAAGTAAGATTAGTAGCGATCAAAAGTGTTTTTTTTTCGCCGTACATACACTCCCTTTAAGAATTATGAATGTATGCACCGTGGGAAAATATGATTTCTTCGCTAGATTGAGAAAAGTTGCCTAGAACTGGAGAATATGGTTGAATCCCTAGCTTCCGGAGATATTGCTCTAGCAGTTAATGAGATTAGTAACTTCAGGTACAGGCTGTCAAACTAAACATCACAGCTCATGAACAGCTTTAAAGCTCGTCTTTTATCTTTGAAATAATTTGCGGCATTTCTTCTATTACAATTGCTTCTTGAAACATTTTCTTTTGTCTATCCTTTCCTAAATGTGGTGTTTTCTAAACTATTTAAACATATAACGAATTTTGTTCAGATTTCAATTTATGAAATAAAAACAGAATTTACTAAATTGTTTTTGCGGGACACCCTGTCTAAAAATTATACAACTAGAAACAAATTTTATATGTATAGGGTAGTAAATAAAACAAGATATTCGTACATATGTTCCCTATAGCCGGCCAAACAGCTGGAGAAAATGGGCTGCATTTTTTTATGGACACTCATGGGCAGACTGGGGGTGACATAGGCTAAAAAATTCGATTATTTTTACTTCAAATTTTTTTTCACGGACAACGCGGTTTTTTTTAGCTAATTATTTATATATGTATATAGTTATATAGTTATAAATATATATATCAAATCTCGGATCTTTTTACAGAAAGGAAAATAAATAAAAAAGTTATTTTCCTGTGCAATCTTTTATATTAAAATTTCTATTCTTTTTCTTCTTCAAAACTATTAAATTAAACAAAGCAAAATTAACAACAAAACACCTTAAAACCCAACAAATGCAATTAAAAGCCAAACAAAACCATCAAAAAACCATTCAATTTCAGATAAACCAGTAAACCACTTAAAACCTTTCAAGGAAATTAAAAAAAAATTTAAATAAGAATTTTCTAAAAAAAAAGTTTTGCAATAATTCCAAAAATTTTAAATATTCAAAATCATTAGACCAGTATAATTAGTAAACAGTACTTAAAGAGAGTACAAATATTTCAGCCGCATTTTTTTTACGTAATTATACGTTTGGGTTTCCTTCTAAAACAAATTCCCCTGATCCCTTCATTCAAATGAAGACTGTTAATAAAAACATAACATGGCCTAAATAAATCTTTATTTAAGAAAATCGAGTACGTTATCCTTATAATGCACGTACAGACACAATTTTTAATGCAATATATGTATTCCGTATTCTGAAATGAGAGAAAGGTTTCAGCAGGTTTAGTTGTATTGAGAGATAGGTTTAAAGAGATATTTTTTATTCTAAATCTTTTTATTCTTGAAGGAGGTATTTAATTCTAAATCTGTTTATCTAGGGGTATATTAAAGGAGGTATTTAATTCTAAATCTGTTTATCTAGGGATATATTTAAGTAGGTATCTAATTATATATCGGTATATCTAGGGGTAGATTAAATAAGGTAGTTAATTCTAAATCTGTATATCTAGGGGTATATTAAAGGAGGTATTTAATTCTAAATCTGTATATATAGGGGTATATTAATTCTAAATCTGTGTATCTAGGGGTAGATTAATTCTAAATCTGTATATCTAGGGATAGATTAATTCTAAATCTGTATATCTAAGGGTATATTAAAGAAGGTAATTAATTCTAAATCTGTATATTAAGGGTATATTAAAGGATGTATTTAATATTTAATCTGTGTATCCAGGGGTGGATTAAAAAGATATTTAATATTAACATAGGTATTTAATTCTAAATCGGTATATATAGGGGTAGATTAAAAGAGGTATTTAATTATAAATCTGTATATATATATAGGGGTAGATTAAAGTAGGTATCCAATTCTAAATCTGTATATATACATAGGGGTAGATTAAAAGAGGTAGACCGGAGAGTAGGAGGGATGAAGGCTGAGGTAGATGAGATGACAAGAGATCGAAGAAACAATCTACTTCTTCACGGTCTTCCGCTCCAGGTACTAGTTTAATACAGAACCCATCTCCAGGTTTTGTTTTTAATGCAGAGGTCTGCTCCAGGTACTAGTTTAGTACAGAAACCATCTCCAGGTCTTGTTTTTAATGCAGAGGTCTGCTTCAAGTACTAGTTTAATACAGAAACCATCTCCAGGTCTTGTTTTTAATGCTAAAGTCTTTTTAATACAGAGGTCTGCTCCAGGTACTGCTTTTAATACAGAGGTCTGTTTAAGGTACTGATTTTAATGCAGAGGTCTGTTTAAGGTACTGCTTTTTAATGCAGAGATCTTCTCCAGGTACTGCTTTTAATACAGAGGTTTGCTCAAGGTACTGGTTTAAATACAGGCCGCTTCAGGAGTTAGTTTTTAATACAAGCTATCTCCAGGTACTGGTTTTAGTACTCCAAGTAATGTTTAAATACAGCTAGGTCCCTTACAGACGATGGTTTTATCACAAAGATGGTTTTATCACAAAGATGGCACAAAGATGGTTTTATCACAAAGATGGTTTTATCACAAAGATGGTTTTATCACAAAGATGGTTTTATCACAAAGATGGTTTTATCACAAAGATGTCCAAATAGACAATAAATGTGTGAGTATATTAAAGAGGAAGCCAAAAACATCAAAGGAATTGAGTTTTTGCCACAAACTCTAATTTTCTAATTTCAATATCGCTGCAACACAATGTTGCAGATCTTAAATATTTTAAACTATGAATGCCATTAGGTCAAATAATGTAAGTCTGAAATATCAAAGATTTACACCATAAGGTTGTAAAGATATAGGTTTTACAAAAACTGAATATGTGGCAAAGACTCAATTCCTTTAGAATAAAAATATAAAAATTTGAATAAAATGTTTAAAATGTTGAGAATGATGAAACGATGGAGAGCTTGGCAACTATCCTGGGAGAACTTGTGAGAACTAAGCTAGGAATTCGGAGAGAAATTGTTCTAACCTCACTTACAAGGTAAAATTAAAATTAAAATTTTCAACATTTGAAAAATTTGAGCAAATTTGAAATTTAAAGAGAAAGAAATAATATCAAATATTCAAATTAGATAAAAGAATGTAGAAAAATTATTGATCAGGTTTCAGGGTACTGTTGTAAATCTGATCAGGTTTCAGAGTACTGTTGTAAATCTGATCAGGTTTCAGAGTACTGTTGTGAATCTGATCAGGTTTCAGAGTACTGTTGTGAATCTGATCAGGTTTCAGGGTACTGTTGTGAATCTGATCAGGTTTCAGAGTACTGTTGTGAATCTGATCAGGTTTCAGAGTACTGTTGTGAATCTGATCAGGTTTCAGATTACTGTTGTGAATCTGATCAGGTTTTAGAGTACCGTTGTGTATCTGATCAGGGTATCGTTGTGAATCGGGAATTGCAAATTTTGCACGAAGCATTAAAATTACGCTTCTATAAACATACAGTTCTATAAACATGAAAAAGAAAACTTACAGAATTAAACATGTTTCCCAGGCTGAAACCAACCCGTGCTGAGGTCGGAGGTTGGCCTCCCATTGTAATCTCCTTCCAGCACTTCTACGACAAGGAGGCTGTCCTCAAGAGGTCGGATATGTTGGACCGAAGCGGCCTCCTACTCACCGAGGACATGTCGAGATCAGTTCGGGAGAATTGGGGAGAACTAAACAAGTTTATGAGTAGGGTAAGTCACAAAAAAAACGATCTTTTTGAAATTTTGGAAATTTTTTAAATCTATGGAACATTTTTAATGGATTGATATCAATATGAGGTAGCACAAAAAGTAATAACAGTTTGAAGTTTTTCTGTTTGACTCAAAATGTGAATAAAATGATAATTTTTTCGTCTACTGATCACAATGACAGTATATCAATTATCAAACAAGCCTAAATGTCGAATTTCAAACTGTTCTTTCTTCTTCAATTTTTGTGTTACATACCTATAATTTGGTTTTTGGACACCAGAGTCTAAAACTAAAGAACGAAAAGTTTAGACTTAAATTTTAAGTTCACGGTTAAATGCCACTTCTGTGGTTAAATATTTAACTCGCCGAAATCGACGAGTTAAAATTTAAACAGAGGTTTAAATTATCTTGAAATCCTGCATTTTCCCTATTTGTCTATTATTCAATCATCATTCAGCTGCAGCTGAGAAAGCGGCATTCAACTTTAAAAGTGAAAACCTTGCTAAAGAAATTTCACGTTTTAGATAAATTAATTTTTGGATGTAAACCCAAAAAACGGTTGTATGTTTTGTTTTCGGTTACGTAAGAACAGCTGATTAGCGATGGTTATGTAATATTCTCCGTAAATCCTTTTCTCTGATTGGTTCAGATTTTTCCCGGGAAATTCAAATTTAAAATTGAGAAAGTTTAATATTTAAGTAGCTATTCATAATTTTACAGAACTTTTAACCTCGAACTTAAAATTCGCGCATTCTTTAGTTTTAGACTCAGCTGTATGTTTTGTATTTTAAAATCCGAATTAAAAAATAGAATTTGTTTCGAAATCAAATCCTGTAAAGATCTTTGCGGAGAGAATCTTTTTTTATAAACAGTTCTTATTAAAAAGACAGTTCGGGAAAACAGAAAGAGGGTAATTGTATTCTATCCAATGTTTCTGTGAAGAAAAAACGTATAAATTGTTTTCTACGGACCTTGAAAGTACTTTGGCTATACGTTGCCAGGCTGGCAGGACTGTACGAGATATCAAACCAGAGCTGGGAATTTTAGAATTGTCAATGCTAATGCTTGATCTCCTCATTTTTATTAATCTGCATGAATCTTTATTTGATAACCATGAGTGTCTAAAATTTAACTAAGCAAGGTGTTGATTGCAGAAAACAAACAGCCATGATAAAAAGATGACAAATTTTGCACGGAATAAAATATATTATCAAGTACAATAGGTGGCAACAGAGAAATTGACAACCTATACATGACGTCACAAGTGTCAAATATAACAAGGAAAACGAAATTTTCTCACATTAGTTGACATGTTTCCAAAATGAAATAAAAAAATGTAAAAAAGAAAAAGAAAAAAACATAAAATTGCAATTATTTTACCGTAAGATAATTACGTTATTCTAAAATTATCACTATTATTTAAAATTTTGTCAGACACAAAAACTAAGTTGACACTTGTGACGTAGAATACAGCTGTACTGACTACTGAGAGTGTACAAATTCTACGTTGCCATCTATTGTACTAGAAACTATTTGCACGGAAACAATTCCTTGGTCGGAACCCAGCAGGGTTATCTAAGAGATAGGCTTAAGCCAAAAATCAAAAGTATCCACAATGAATATCGAAATATAGCAATCGGGATTAAGGATATCCAACACACAAGTTTTTAGCTCAGTTTCACGAAAACAAATCATAAGTTTTTAACGGTTTAAACAAAATTTTAGTATTTTCAAATTTGATTTTAAGGTAAAATCCCGATATCCGACAAGCCAATGTTTCCTGAAGCAGGACAGACTCTACGTGGATAACAGGATGTTTGTCTGGAGAGAGGAGGAGGGACGGGTTACAGAGCAAACCGTTCTCACATTACCTGCTACACCAGGGAATATGTTCCCAGGTCTAAACCTTCAAACCAGGTGAGTTCTCTATTGAACACACGGCATATAAACTGCTAGTTTAAAATGTACTATACTTATTTTGTTTCCTTCCTAAAAATTAATTTAGAAAAATTATTCCGAAGAAGAAATATTTTAGTTTCCTTTATTTCACAGTTTTGCATAATATATTAGTTTTTCAACTGACGAAAATAAATAATTTAAAAGTTTTAAATATCAAAAGAAGAAAGAAAACACGGTATCAAAAACTGAAAAAAGTTTTTTTTCTATTCTAAATCTCCCGATCTTAAAGGAAAGTTTACGATATTTAAATCTTATTTAATTCTAATTTAACAAATCTAGATAATCTTAATAAATCCTGCTTTAGTTTAGTTTTTCAAGGAATTTTGTATAAATACTTTATTTTGTTGTCTAAAGTAATTGTGTTTTGATATTTCAAACTCAGATTATTTGATCTAACAGAATTCATAGTTTGAAATATCTAAGGTCTACGACATTGGGTTGCAAAGTACATAAACAAAATTTAAAAGATTATGATATTAAAACTTTATAGGATTGCCCCGAATTGAATTCGACATTTACAGCTTGTAATATCTGAAGGGTTAGTTCTAATGTTTTATCAATGGTCTGGGTACAATAATGCAACACGTGAATTTGTACGGGTTCTTCGCTTTTCGGTATGAGTCGGTTTTAACAGATAGAAGTAAAGTTAGATTAGAAGTAATCAAACCAGAATTCAATTCGGAACCCCTATTTTCATTTTCGCGATAACTCCCTTTAAATATTTTAGTATTATAATGATAAACCCTTTCCTGTATTTTCACTAAAAAATTAAAAGAAAAGTCTTTTTTATTAATTCTTAGAAACTTTACTGTAACTTTTTCTCAAGGAATTATCATCAAAAAGAGTCTTAACTCTTTTTTAAAAATCAAATTATAGAAGAATTAATTTTTAATGAGATATGGGTTTCCAGCAGGGAGTAAGGAATAGACGGGAGATATAACTGACGCGGCTCGCCCTTCCATATGATTTAAACATGCTCTGTAGACGGTACTCCATTTGTATAAGAAATATTTGTCTGATGTACAATTACCGCGTATACAATAACCTATTCTGAATATTTCTTATACAAATGGAGTACCCGTCTGCAAAGCATGTATAATCATATGGTAGGGCTAACCGCTTCAGTTATCCCTTTTATTCCTTACTCCCTGGTTTCCAGGTCTGTTGGTTTGTTTATTTGGCCCAAAACAATATTGAAACAGCTGATTTGTTTGAGAGGAATCAGGGTTACAAAATTATTTTGAAATTTGGAAATAATTGAAACTAAATAATTATATCTTGAAAATGATTGTTTATATTATAAAAAATGTTGATTTGATCTTAAAAAATGAATGGTAATTGATCATGAAAAAAGGATGATTAGATCTTGAAAACGAAGGATTTGATCTTAAAAATGAATGATTTTATCATGAAAAAGTATATTTGATCTTGAAAATGATTGATTTGATCTTGAAAATGATTGATTTGATCATAAAAATAGTGATTTGATCTAGAAAATATATAATTATATCTTGAAAAGGATTGTTTATATTATAAAAAAATGTTGATTTGATCTTAAAAATGAATGATTTGATCTTGAAAATAAATGATTTGATCTTAAAAATGAATGATTTGATCATGAAAACGTATGATTTGATCTTGAAAATAAATGATTTGATCTTAAAAATGAATGATTTGATCATGAAAACGTACGATTTGATCTTGAAAATAAATGATTTGATCTTAAAAATGAATGATTTGATCTTGAAAACGAAGGATTTGATCTTAAAAATGAATGACTTGATCTTAAAAATGAATGATTTGATCATGAAAAAGTATGATTTGATCTTGAAAATGATTGATTTGATCATACAAATAGTAAAATCTCTGTTTAGATGTTCGAATCGACTGAAACTAGAAGATATTCAGCATGGGTTTGATCCAAATCAATAATCAGTATTTTTCTACCCTTGGCACCTTCAACCTGTACAAATCTAAATGTATAGAATAAAGAACTATGTTGTTGTTTAATAAAAGTTTAAAGTGCTAATATTAAAATTTTATGTTTTGAAATTATTTTATAAATTTAATTATGTTGAATTACGGACAGTATACCAGGGCTTTATGTTGTGCAAATGGAATTTGACAAAATTAATAAATTCCAAATTAACTTTTAACTAATTCTTTCTTCTTAATTTTCTCATCTACGGTTTAATGGAGAAAGGAATTAGGTTTTTGCCTCAAACTCAATTTTTTAATTCCTATATCTTTGCAACCTAACGATGTGAACCTTTAATATTTCAAACTTAGATTATGTGATCTAACAAATTTCATAGTTTGAAATTTCTAAGGTCTTCGACATCGGGTTCCAGAGATATATGTAGGTATTACAAAATAATAATTTTTTTCTCTATTAATAAATTTTTAAATTGAAGTTTAATTTTTTTCGTGGATTTCTTGAAATTCTCGAATTTTGCAAACTTTCTCATCATAAATATGTTTAAAATATTTTTTACAACAAAAAGATGAAAGCTTTAATGCATCTTATGTCAAAAGATTAAGGAAATTTAAATTAGATGAGTTTTTTTCTCCAGTTTCTTTTTCTTTGTTTTATTTTATCTTTATTGAGTTATGTTCAGAGCAAGTTTATTTTTACAGAATCTAAAATTTTTCCGTAAAAGTTTATATATTTCAAAAATTTACTTTCTTAATTCCGATTGTTTCCGAAAATTTCCCACACATTCCCAATCCCACCATTTCTTCGGAAAAATTCCACATTTGCCCAAAAATTCTATTTTTACGAAAAATAACGTTTTTTCATAAGTTTCCCTTCAATCTGTAATCTTCGATTCATATTGATTTATAATGAAATTTTTAAATTCCTAAATCTTTGTAACCCAATGCCGTAGGCCCTACATAATCAAACTATTCTGTTTCCTTAAATAATTTAAGTTGGAAAAAAGTGGACACCATTAGGTTGCAAAGATATAGGGATTAGAAAAATTGAGTTTGTGGCAAAGACTTAATTCCTTTGCTCGTCTGTTTGTATCCAATAAACGTCAAAACAGCTGAACCGTCGGGCTCATACTTTTTATAGGGATCACATGACATTAGAGAAGGTGTAGACTTCGATTTTTCTAAAATTTTGGAAATCCACTGATGAGACAAATCCGCAAAATTTAGAAACATGGATGCTGATTATTAATATTTTAAGGCTAACTTAAAGGGACTGTCAGCATAAAATTAGAAGTGACGTTCCTTGCAAACATGGCAATACCCTTGAAAGCCTTGTCTGGTCAAATATGAAAAAGATATGTTTTTGTTTCTTTAAACTGTTTATTTTCATTTCCGGTTTCTCTGCGAAGGTGACTCACGCATTTCTTTTTTTTGATAAATGGAAACGAGTCGCGAACCGTCGGTAGAGCCAATTGTATTCTTATATTTTTCCAATAAAAGAAACCTAGACCCTTCATTACATTCATTAAGATGAGGGGAGGGAGGGGAGCTGAGAGAGAGGGGAGGGGTGAGGAGAGAATAGAAAGATTAAAACAACAAATATATACTACATCTTCTCTCACTTGAGATTGAGTAAATAACATTCAGAACTTCCAACAACTTTACCTTTTTCTCTTCTGAGGGAAATAATAAAAAGAATTCTGTTCAACACAATAATTTATTGAAAATAAAGCCATTTATTTTATCTTGGTAAAAACTTGACTTGTAGTTTTTCATTCATTCAATAATTTATACGATCTCATCCTTACAAAATTTATGTGAACCCAACAATCGGAATTTTAGAGACCAATCTCACTCAAATCCAAGAACTTTGCAAATAATTATTATTCGCGTACTCTTCTAGAAAGAAAGAGTAGGTCGAATTTATGCGAAATTACTGGAAATACTTTGTCACCTAGCAGTTTCTATATTACTATGAACATGTTCTTTTTGTTTACATTTTAAAACAAAGAAGAAACAAATTTTGCGAATTTTTGAAGAAAAAAAAATTCGCGGATTTTCAAGAATCTAAATTTTTTACAAATTTAAAAACCTTTAAAACACATTTTTATTTAATTTTTATTATTCATGAACCTTCCCTGTGGTCACGTGATGTCCCACAAAAAATTTGGGCCCGATCGATTCAGCCGTTTTGACGTTTATTGGATACAAACAAACAAACAAACAGACAAGCCAAATTTATAAATAGATTGATTTTAAGAATCAGGAAAAAAATTAGTTTTTTCTTCTCAAACAATTGAATCGGGGAATTTAACCCACACCTTCTGGATCATCGAAAGAATTTATAAATGTCGTCTTGACAATTTTTCAATGGGTGTTACTTTCATACTATCATACCTAAATCTCAATAAATAAATAAAAAAGGCATAAAATATGCGGAAAAAGTTTTAAAGAGCTCCATATAATTATTCAATTAAAAAAAAAATATCTGCGCGGCGGCATTCCATTATCCGAAGGTAAAGAAAACGACATTTTATAAATTCTTTCGATTTCTCCAAAGTTCTGGTCTAAACTGTAGTATAATGTTCTAGGCTGCCCATCTTCTATTTAATTTTCTAAACATTTTCTATTTGTATACATTGTAAAGCAAAACAAAAAATTTGCGGATTTTAAAGAAAAATTTCGTGGATTTTCAAAATTTTCACAAATCAAATTTTGTTAAAGGTAAAATTTTGGAAAACTCGATCAACCATAAACCTACCCTGAGGTCACGCGAGGTCCCACAGAAAATTTGGGCCTAATCGGTTCAGCCGTTTTGACTATTGGATACAAACAGACAAACAGACAAGCAAAGTATATATATATAGAAGCAAACCCTATTCAATTTAGCTTTATATCTTCTAGGTAATTGATGTAAGTTTCAGACCTGAGAAAACAGTTTATTGGCCGTTCTAAGAGTTCTAATCTTCAAAAACTTTAACAGTTAATTTAATTTTATTTTTATTTCAATTAAATTTTTGCGACCTAATTATCAAGATTTTGAAATATACGGGATAATTTTATGTTAAAAGTTTTTGAAAATAAGCTGGAATGGCCGGCGTTGCCCGTGGAATTAAAAAAAAATGTTGAAAATTTAAATTCTTATTTTTTACCCAATGTTACCCCTCGGGTCACATGGGTTCCCTCAAAAATTTTCAGCCAATTCGGTCCAGTCGTTTGGCCAGCTATAGCTAACATAAATGTATATAAGAGCGAAGAGCTTTATTATATAGATAGATATAATTTCACAAAAATTTGCTAAATTAAACAAAAATTGGCGACATTGATTTTTACTAATTACACAGCAACATATCTATCATTTCAGTAATTATTTCATTATCTAATCCTTCAACATGTAAATTGTTGTTTTTTGTTTTCAGCAGTTTTTGTAAAATCGGAACTTTCAGTCCATGCTCCAACGGGATATCCAAAATATTTCAAGATCAAACTTTTTTACAATGGAATCATATGTGTATATCTAGGTACATTAAAAAGAATTTTAATAGCACAGTATGTATTCCATGCTATGTACAATTTTGAAACACATAGGGAACTAAAAGTCCCATGCTAAAAACCGGCATTGTCGGACTCCTTTTGCAATACTGCCTCAATGCTTTCTTTTTCCTTTGTCTTTAGCCCCAATTTTTCAATGTTTTCTAGGCTTAAGAAAATGTCCAATGACAAACTCTAATTTTTAATACCTAAATCTTAACAACGCCATGTCATAAACATTTGAGATTTAAACTATGAATCGAGTTAGATCAAATAGATTAAATATCAAAGGTTTGCATGCCATCAGGTGGCAAAGATATAAGTATTAGAAAATTTGAGTTTGTGACAAAATGTTCAATTATGCTAAAAAAAATTGAAAGTATTTTTGAGATGGCGTGTCAAACATGAATAAAAAATATAATTTTTCCTGTCTACATTTTTGAGATTCTTTATATAAGTCCAAGAAGCTTTTCATAGGAAATTTTAAGTTTTAAAGTATCACAATAAGGAAAAATATAAGTTCTTCCAACCGTATCATGAAAATTATTACATTATTGCACAGAAAAGAACACAATTTAACCTTTTTTTTAAAAAAAAAAAAAAACAATTTCTAAGAGACTGCGGATGATATTTCAAATTGGCTCGCGGATTTATGCGACACAGATAATGGGATAGATTGCCAGAATTAAATACTTTTTAAGATAGGAAAACTACACCATGTTCCTCCATGTTGTTCAAATAGAGGTTCAAAGGGGATCAAAGGGAAATTCAAGGTCCCTTGAAATTATCTCTCATAGTCCCTTGATATGTTTACTCTAAACGAAGATTTTCATAGGTTTGCGGTTTCCAGGAGCATGGTTGGGAGAGAGAAGAGAAGATCTAGTGAGAGGAGAAGATGAGAAGAGGCCGGGCTCAGTTCTCCTTCATCCTTCTCTTACTCCGCACTTGATCTGATTTATTTGCTCCCCATGTGTACCGTTAATTACTGCTTTTTTATCATCAAGTCTTAAAACTTCATGAAAGTTAAAATCTATCATTTTCATTTGAATTGAGCCAAAAAAAAAAAACAATTATGTTTTGTGCTAATGGTTGTCAACAACAAGTTACAGATTTCAAACCTTTTATTTAAACCATATTTAATATAGTTCATGGTATTTCATTTCAAACCAGATCCATACCTGATCATGGTTTATTCCTTCTCCATACTTGTACATGGTTAATCCCTTCTTTATATATAAACATGGTGCAGTCCTTCTCCGTACTTGAACATGGTTAATCCCTTCTTTATATATAAACATGGTGCAGTCCTTCTCCGTACTTGAACAGGGTTCATTCCTTCTTTATATATAAACATGGTGCATTCCTTCTCCGTACTTGAACATGGTTAATCCCTTCTTTATATATAAACATGGTGCAGTCCTTCTCCATACTTGAACATGGTTAATCCTTTCTTTATATATAAACATGGTGCAGTCCTTCTCCGTACTTGAACATGGTTAATCCCTTCTTTATATATAAACATGGTGCATTCCTGCTCCGTACTTGAACATGGTTAATCCCTTCTT